GGTAAAGCACCTTAAGACCCTTCCATCTATGAAGAGTATTTGATTCTACCATATCTGGGTCTTGAGAAGAAGATTTTTGAAATTTTAGTCAATTCAACCCTTTTTGGCCCCACCCCTCAGGCCCCTGGGGGCTGGGGACCAAACCGGCCACTTTTTTTGTTGATCTTTGGCCATGGAAGGTTTGTGCAAAATTTCATTGAAATTGGTTCAGGGGTTTTGGAGAAGAAGTTGAAAATGTAAATTGGTTACGGACGCACACCGGACGACGGACGCCGCCGGACAAAAGGCGATCGCAATAGGTCACTTGAGACTTTGTCTCAGGTGACCTAAAAATATATAGTTATTAAAATTGTTCACAAAAATATGTTATACTCACCCCCTAGGTAAAGCTGACCCTTGCCTTCACACACTTCCTGACCATCGTCGCCCAGAACTGTTACTCTAGTATCCTTCAGTGGCTGACCAAAAGGCACATCAACTGTTAGGTTTCTGTAAAATGTTCATTAGGTGAATGTGAAGTTGAACTCCCTGATATGCTCTCAACCTACATCAACTCTAGACAAATCCTGGGTACCATCATCAAAACCCTATTAAACCATGGCAACCAAATGAGACACAAAATCAAACGGGAACTATATATCATCAAAACTTTGATAGACCTTCAAATAAGATAGGATTTACCATCAAAATCTTAAAATATCCTGGAATTTAAAAAGATACAACTGGTTATAGGCAACTAGTTTTTTGGTTGACAGGTTGAAACTGTAGTCTGTATTTAGATCATGAATTACTACAGACTAGTAACTAGTAGTGTTAATGATGTCAGATACAACGTCAAAGGGTCTTTTCTCAACAAGGACTCTGGATTTGCTACGACAGATATATTCTGGAGGCTTCAAATAATTGCCTTGGAAATTGGTGAAGTTAAATCAAAGTACAGAATCCTGCCATTCCCTAGTATAACCAAGGCGTATTACATGTCAGTCTTGAAATTATCAGCAAAATTTGTCAAGCCTAACAAACTCTACTAAGAGGTAACTTTGTTTGATTTGTTATCAAATCATGATCATTTACTTTAAATTGTACAATTTTCACCCCACCAATCATTGTTTGGATTTAAATACAAATTAGCCAAGTGTTGATTTAGTGATAACTTTACAATATATACACTTCATAATTTTTGCTTTCATGCATTCGGAAGTCTCCGTTGCATTATTCTAGGGCAAAAGGATGAAAACAAAACTTGGGTGAAAATTTCCCCTTTTACAGTACAGTTCTTTGTAGAAACATTTCACTGATTGGGATGTTGATTACTGCAATAGAAATTGTTCTTATTTTTGGAGGAAGGACGATTTTTTGAATCAATGAAATAGGAAAGGGTTACATGCATTTGATATTCTCTTTAAAAAAACACCATTTAACTGAACATTTTCCATTAATATCATCACTGCAGGATGAAAATGTTTACTTAATTCTAATAAAACAGTCATTTGTGAATTGAAAAATATCTTGACAAACTGAAATCAGGCATATTTAAAAAGGTGATATAATGGGATATTTGAATAGTCCCTAACCTAAATTTAAATTTCAAAATAAGTTATTTGAAACATACATGTACCTGATGAACACATACTTCCAAAGTCATTTAAACTTGAAAACTAAATGAGCTGCAAAACATAAAAAAAACAAGAAAATGCAGCAATGCTGCTGGACACCAAACTTTTTTTTATGAAAACGACTTACTGACGGTCCATCAAATGCGAGGGAACAGATCCTGCATACTTGAATCTATTTATTTATAATTATATATATTGTTAATGGCATTATTTTGTCGTTCAGAATATTCAGTTCACGCTCAATATCCTTACATTTTGCACTTTTGTCACTTAATAATTGTCCCACAGAACGCAAATGTACAGTTTCAACTGCACGATTAGGCCTAACGTTAAATGTCAACTATGTGTTAATAACGCCAACTTCTGAGAGAGAGAAGCCGGGACATGAAGATGATTTACATAAAAATATCTTTTATACTTTTGGTCAAAACTGCAGCGATTTTTGCAAATATTTCTTTTGACAATGTACCTATTTGACTATTTTGGGTAAAACGGCAGCGTCCTCTAGGTTAAAGCGTCAATCGTAGCCCCCGCCCCTTTGAATAATAGTTGTTACTTCTCGAGGAGAAGACACATTTTGCCACAACGTTGGTTTTTTGGCTGTTATCACATTCGTTTTCACAAATGAAATTAATATATCGTATTGAACAGGAAAACCATGAAATTTTCTATTTCTTACATTTTTTCACGTCATGAGGCGAAAATATTGCTTCATCAGAAAAGCGCGGGAATTTGTAACGTAGTTTTTGACGCCAAATTATAATGACGTCACGCTTGACAACAATACAGAGTGCCATTTTGAATGGGTTTTCATTGCAATTTTGCCGTTTGCTAGTATTATCTGGTAAGACTACCAGACAAAAATGATATTAATTGTGTTGATATGTAAAAACAATAATGTATGCTGCAAAGGCTGACAACACAACCACTTAGTCTGCCGTCACTTCATCTAAACTTGAAACTGAAAAATCTACGCAGAGAATATAACGTACCGCTCAGATTGGACAATACTAAGAGTGACTTTTTTTATTTGTGAATATATCATATTTCGTTTATCTTCACTGCATTAAACATATGTGTTTATCAGATGGAGAATTCATGATATTTCACTAGAAAACTGTACTAAATACCGATACCGTAAGGTTTACCTTCATATTTTTGTAGACCGTATGCGGCCTCAATTTCCCAGAAGGCTTTCACGCATGGGGAAGCACCGGAAGTGGACAAAGTGTTTACAGATCAAACCCCGACGGCGCTTTGCGCCGCTTGGGGGTTTGAAAAAAGTGGTTTCTAAAACATTTAGATGATACCTCTACAGGTTATAATCAGTATAACTGTACCTGAAATCTTTGTCGGTCACTTCATAGCATGTTGACCAGCAAGACACCTCTGTGGTACCATACAGGTTGTAGAACTTTGTAGAATTATCTGGAGCTCTCCACTTTTGGAGTAAGGAAATTGAAGGAAATTTCTCACCTCCAAAAGCAAGAGTTTTGAGTTGAGACATACTTCCAAGTAGAGTGTTTTTGAGAACCTCTGAGCCTATTCTTGATACTAGGGAGGGAGTGGCCTACAACAACAACAGATATACTGTATATCGGTCTCATTATTTGTAAGATAACAATTCATGTCCTGGCTTTAACTTCACAAACATTCCTTTATAACTTAAGTTAAGATTTTTCCTTTTAATACTTAATCAACACTTTCTATGTGGAGAAAAGATAAAGAACAAATTATATATAATCTATATATATCACCCTTATGATATCAATACTTGTGTGATTACCACAGTAAATAAGACTACTGCAGGGTGGAACAATATATGATACTGAATCTGGCATACTTAAAATCCTTCTGATGTATTATTGTATCTTAATGTATGAAAGTAGGTGGGCCCTAAGGTAAAATGTATAAGGAGGTATAATGAGGTGAACCCTAAGATGGTACTGACCTGTAGATAGGTGACCTTGTGACGATGATACAGCATACTCAGTAAAGACCTTGGCATCATCTTCACCACATGTGGGACAATCAACAGACACGCTCCACTACCCAAGGCCAGGAAAAGGTCAACAATACTGGGGTCAAAGGTTAAAGGTGAGCTTAAGAATATGAGGTCATTGTCTTTAATGTTGAAAAATTCTCTGTAATAAAGGATCAAAATAAGGTCTTTCAAATGATGGAATATACCTGAGATACGTGATGTTGGATACACCTGTAATTAAACTCAGAGAGGTGTGATACTGAGCAGAGATATACATGTAACTTGTACCTGATGTGTCCAAAATATTGTGCAGTGTACACCTGTATTTTATACTTGTAAGTACATAAGATGTGTGGTGCTTGGTAGTACATCTACCTTAGATGTACGATATTTGGTAGGATATACCTGTCATGTATACCCTGATGTTTGTATACATAATGTACCTTAGATGTGTGATGTTTGGTAAGATACACCTATAATGTATATATACATAATGTACCTTAAATGTATAATATTTGGAAGGATATACCTGTCATGTATACCCTGATGTTTGTATACATAGTTTACCTTAGATGTGTGATGTTTGGTAAGATACACCTATAATGTATATATACATAATGTACCTTAAATGTATAATATTTGGAAGGATATACCTGTCATGTATACCCTGATGTTTGTATACATAGTTTACCTTAGATGTGTGATGTTTGGTAAGATACACCTATAATGTATATATACATAATGTACCTTAAATGTATAATATTTGGAAGGATATACCTGTCATGTATACCCTGATGTTTGTATACATAGTTTACCTTAGATGTGTGATGTTTGGTAAGATACACCTATAATGTATATATACATAATGTACCTTAAATGTATAATATTTGGAAGGATATACCTGTCATGTATACCCTGATGTTTGTATACATAGTTTACCTTAGATGTGTGATGTTTCGTAAGATACACCTATAATGTATATATACATAATGTACCTTAAATGTATAATATTTGGAAGGATATACCTGTCATGTATACCCTGATGTTTGTATACATAGTTTACCTTAGATGTGTGATGTTTGGTAGGATATACCTGTAATTTATACCCTGATGTTTGTATACATAGTTTACCTTAGATGTGTGATGTTTGGTAGGATATACCTGTAATTTATACCCTGATGTTTGTATACATAGTTTACCTTAGATGTGTGATATTTGGTAGGATACACTGGTGTGGTACCCGTACAATCTTTGGCGTGCCTGTTGTCCCGGAGGTGGTGATGCAGTAGGCTAGACCCCCTGTGTGTTTACGTTGTGTCTGTCCCTCCAGGTAGACCAGCATCACACCCATGCCCTGTATCCCTGTATTATTCACACTGACAGCACTGTACTCCAGCAACACTGACTCAATCTTCTATAACAGCAGACAAACAGAACTATATTTTAACTTTGAATTATTCAAAACTAGATCATGAAGTCATTTTAATAGTTCCTGATCTATCTGAAAAAATTAAGGGAAGTATAGCATGTTCTCTTTTTCATTGGTACATCTATATACATTTAAACTGAACAAATTACAAGAATATAAAGTTACAATATATACATTTATTACACAACACATGACATAACATGATTATATGACAAACAATTAAAAACATATACATTCATATAACACTACATAACTATGTTTGGCGAAAGGGGCAACTCAGTTACTACAAAATAAACTAAATATCCTTCTCCTGGATTTGTCGTCAGAAGAAGGTTAGCATGTAGTGTCCAGTTAAATATCCTCATCTTAAAAATCTAGCGGACCGTCAACAATGCAGTGTTGGAACAGTACTTGGCTAGAGCTACTGATGAGTATGACAGAAGAGGATAATAACTGGACATCATGTATATTGTAATGAACTATACCCCATCACGGTGTAGCTTGCTGAGCTACCAGGTCCGGATGAGGAATAGGTGTCAGTATGGTTATACAGATATATAGATAGATGATCATCCCGTATTACACTATTCCTCATCTCGGTGCAGCTTGATGAGCTACCAGGTCCGAATAAGGAATAGAAGTGTGACGATTGTAAACTTCTAGTACTTCTATTTCCAAAACAAATAACCCAAAGCTCGTTCGTTGCAGCTTGATGAGCTACATGTAATATCCCGAATAAGGTTTAAGATGAAAGATTTTTTTTGAGACAAATTACAGTTAATATCCCTAATCCTCTGCTTCTGTATCTAGAAGGATACACCAGCTATGAGAATTAGGATACTGATGAATTCAATCGATCTCTACATATAATAATTTTGGGGATGAAATGAGAAATTAGAATTTATTTAACAATAATTTTGAATGAAAAGTCCAAAACTCAGTTAAATGATAATAAAGTAACGCCGTTGGTAATGGTACCGACATGTTCTAAGGATGGAAACTAATGCACACCTACGCATCGCACTGGGAGGCGCACCAGAAGGTTGGAAACTAACGCACACCTACGCATCGCATTGGGATGGGCACCAGAAGGGTGGAAACTAACGCACACCCACGCATTGCACTGGGATGGGCACCAGAAGGGTGGAAACTAAGGCACACCCAGGCATCGCACTGGGATGGGCACCAGAAGGGTGGAAACTAACACACACCCACGCATCGCACTGGGAGGGGCACCAGAAGGATGGAAACTAACACACACCCACACATCGCACTGGGATTGGCACCAGATGAAAGAAAGAAAGAGGGGAAGGTCAAAAGAGACATGGAGGAGAAGCATTGAAAGAGAATTCAAAAACCTGGGTTTCAGGTCATGGACAGAGGCAGCAAGTACAGCCCAGGACAGAAACACATGGAGAGGACTTGTTCAAGGCCCTATTCTTCACTTTGAGAGACAGAAACACATGGAGAGGACTTGTTCAAGGCCATATTCTCCACTTGGAGAGACAGAAACACATGGAGAGGACTTGTTCAAATAATCAAGGCCCTATTCTTCACTTGGAGGGACAGAAACAATTGGAGAGGACTTGTTCAAGGCCCTATTCTCCAGTCCACTCAGAGAGACAGAAACACATGGAGAGGACTTGTTCATGGCCCTATTCTCACCTCGGAGAGACAGAAACAATTGGAGAGGACTTGTCCATGGCCCTGTTCTCCACTTGGAGAGACAGAAACAATTGGCGGGGACTTGTTCAAGGCCCTATTCTCCATTGAGAGAGATAGAAACACATGGAGGGGACTTGTTCAAGTAATCAAGGCCCTATTCTTCACTTGGAGAGACAGAAACACACGGAGAGGCCTTGTTCAAATAATCAAGGCCCTATTCTTTACTTGGAGGGACAGAAACAATTGGAGAGGACTTGTTCATGGCCCTATTCTCACCTCGGAGAGACAGAAACACACGGAGAGGACTTGTTCATGGCCCTATTCTCACCTCGGAGAGACAGAAACAATTGGAGAGGACTTGTCCATGGCCCTGTTCTCCACTTGGAGAGACAGAAACACATGGAGAGGACTTGTTCAAGGCCCTATTCTTCACTTTGAGAGACAGAAACACATGGAGAGGACTTGTTCATGGCCCTATTCTCCACTTGGAGAGACAGAAACAATTGGAGAGGACTTGTCCATGGCCCTGTTCTCCACTTGGAGAGACAGAAACAATTGGAGGGGACTTGTTCAAGGCCCTATTCTCCATTCAGAGAGATAGAAACACATGGAGGGGACTTGTTCAAGTAATCAAGGCCCTATTCTTCACTTGGAGAGACAGAAACACACGGAGAGGACTTGTTCATGGCCCTATTCTCACCTCGGAGAGACAGAAACACACGGAGAGGACTTGTTCATGGCCCTGTTCTCACCTCGGAGAGACAGAAACACAAGGAGAGGACTTGTTCATGGCCCTATTCTTACCTCGGAGAGACAGAAACACATGGAGAGGACTTGTTCAAGGCCCTATTCTCCAGTCCATTCAGAGAGACAGAAACACATGGAGAGGACTTGTTCATGGCCCTATTCTCACCTCGGAGAGACAGAAACACATGGAGAAGACTTGTTCATGGCCCTGTTCTCCACTTGGAGAGACAGAAACAATTGGAGAGGACTTGTTCATGGCCCTGTTCTCACCTCGGAGAGACAGAAACAATTGGAGAGGACTTGTTCATGGCCCTATTCTCCGGAGAGACGGAAACACACGGAGAGGACTTGTTCAAGGCCCTATTCTCCACTCAAAGAGAAGGAATTATGTCAATTCAGTAATTTAAGACATTGAAAACACTTCAAATAGTTTCAGTATTCGATATACAGGTATTGATTAGCCATGTCCTGGTACATGTACATCAGACACAAAGTTACCCAATCAACATATTGTCTACATCATTGTAAATAGGTCAACTAGTTCTAATCTTCATCTATTCGTGCAGAGTTTTTAATTATATTCAAAGTATATCATTATCAAAATGTCCAATTAGTATAGAACTAATTTGGTTAAAATCACCTAAATCTAGCAAATCATATTTCTCAGAAGTTCTCATTCAGTGATATATTTTATTCAAATGACATTGTACATAACAAATTTATGATACTTGGGTTAGTATAATATATAGAATCACATTTTAATGTTTTCTTAGCCACGCAAAAATGATATCTAGAGGACAGTAACACTAGCAATCTAATTGAAATAACAGAAATGTAAGTACCATGAGGTAAACCTTACACTCCTGTTAATTACTGTTTCTGTACCTGTAAGTTTTCTGAGTCTACCAAAACTACTCGGATGCCCATCTCCCTCACAACATGGCTGACAAACTTCACACAGTTTGGCTCGAAGTTGTAAAAGGCTGCTCCACTCCCAATTACACTGTCAATTGTATGTCAACAAATTAGATCAATCAAACCTATGTATGCTTTTATTTTCCATTCTAATATGTATACAAATAACTTACTTTTGTTTATTACAAGCATTGTAACTTTTAAGGATTGAGAGAAAGTCTAAAAATAAACAACGGAACTAGGGCATTTTTTAAAGTTGTCAAAGAATGTTGATATGAACACTATTGCCATTTTTTGTCAAAAACAAACAGGTAATAATCAATTTAACATAAACAAGTGTCTATTTGCCATTCAAATGAAATTCTAAAGAGTATTTATTTCTGGTTGTGCTGGGGGTTGGTTACAATAAAGGGTGTACAGTACAGTTTACTTACTGTTGTTGCATATGATTAAGCAATCAATGCTGCTTATTCTAGAACTTCTATAATTACTATTGACTACATTCAAAATCTAAAAAACTTACCCTAGGAGAACAGCAGGAAGGTTGTGGGAAGGTGGGATACAAATTCCAACGATTTCCTCTTTCACCTCCATCCTCTTCAGAACAGCAGTAACCTAATATAACACAGAGTAATATATATAGGGATATTTCAACTCTGTAAAACAGGTCAAGTATAATTTATAATGAGTGCTTGTTTTTACTTTTAATACGATAAGCATCAAATATGATATTTCTCATTGTTTTTAGTTTTAATACAATACGAATCAAATATGATTGTTCTTATTCTATAATTTGATGCATAAACTGAAAATTTGAATAAGAAATTTGTATGACTGGTAAAAAATATATGAATGAGGAAATGAATGAGGAAAATGTTATATTAATATAACATTCAGAAAACAATAATCTATTTGCATAGCCACATATTTCTCATTTAGCATTCTGGTAAGATTGATGACAAAAGACATTGTTTTCAAGCTTGTTTCTATACCTGTTCAGTTGACTTCTGAAGCTGTGAGTAGGTGGAAACATTAATGGCCTCTCCATCATCAAACTCAACAGCGGGAGCATCCTTACATCGTGCAAAATGAGGTGTAACAATATCAAGTAATGTCACAGCTACCTGGTCCTGCATGGCTGGTTCTCACAATGTCACAGCTACCTGGTCCTGCATGCCTGGTTCTCACAATGCCACAGCTACCTGGTCCTGCATGGCTGGTTCTCCCAATGCCACAGCTACATGGTCCTGCATGCCTGGTTCTCACAATGCCACAGCTACCTGGTCCTGCATGGCTGGTTCTCACACACAAAGCTCAGTACATGTTCAATTTCCTTAGGAATGTTGCAATCCTCTGGATCTGAAAAAACCCAAAATATAACGATCAATAAGACCCACATCTGAAGTCTTTAAAGCTTTCCCAATCACTTAGCCTGATCAACAAGGTAATTAATAGCTAGGATTAATTAATGAACACCAATATTCTCTCCCCTAGATTATTATCGATATATATTCAAGGGATACCTTAAGTTGCCAGTTGTTACTCAGACTGTGGGAATTCTCCTTTAGATCAATCTGTGGAGAAATAGAGATTCCGGGTGACACTATTACCACATTAGCTCTAATAATAGCCCATGCTCTATATAATTGCCACCTCTCCAATATGAGGGCCAAATACCCTAAAAAGTGAATATTTTCCACAATTTGGAATTTTGAAGACATGTCCAATAATTGCACATCCCCTTAAGCTTGTGGCATAGGTTCAACTTAACCCTGAAATGTCCTTCTTGATCATAATTTATTTTCAATTACGGGTATTACATTTCACAGACTGAAACATACTAAGACATTATTAAAACATAGCAGATAGCACATCACTGCTGTTCATTTCGTTAGTTTTGATGGTAAGTGTATCAATCCATAAAATGTAATAACCTCTATTGACAGCTATATAATGGTGAGAGATAGGAAGCCACTATATTCTTTCTGAAATTGAATTTAAATGTGTAAAAGTCCAACACCACACATAAGGTTAGACAGGCATGGATCATATGCTTATTATAAGTTTCTCTTCAGATACAATGTATCATCAGTGTATAAAGAAAATGGACATCATCACAACATACTCAAGCGTCACCAATAAGTGGGTATTTAAGTTTATATGGCCAACTAGTTTCGCTTCTTAAGTTGGGGCTTCATCAGGACAATAATTTTACAATGGTTTAGACACCTAATGTACTTCTTTAGGGGTTCAGATTTATATTGTGATGTAATGGACAATGAGCTCAAGTCAAGGGCAGATAAACAATGGTGACCAATAGAACATTACGACGTCACAGATATCATGACATCATCAAGATTAGTGGTGTTGTTATGGACATAGGAGGAAAGGTGCATTTCTATGTTACAAGGAAATTACTGTTCACATTGATGTAAATAAAGAAAACATAGTGAATACATATAATAAGAATTAAAATAGGTTAGTAGCATTAAGTTATAGAATTGGTGGTCCAATGAGGCAAATTAAATGTTTCTTTAACTCCTGATAATCTGTTATATGCACTGTGGCCAAAAGTGGGGAGTGTTTCCCTCATTTGTATGGCTATATGGCTATATATACTGAACAAAAAAAGAAACGCACAAAGTTCCCCCCCTGCAGTACACCTTAGCTGTAAGGAAATAATGGAATATTTGGTCAGGTATTACATCAAGAACGATTTCCCTTCTCAACAATCTACCCTAAAATCAGCCAAGCGTGACGATGTCATTGTGTGACTTTGTGAGCTTCTTTAGTTCAAATCACACGGCGTGATCAAGCCAAGCCGGAGTTTTTCAAACAAATAATCTCAACGGATACTCATCCACATTAATTTTCCACGTTGGCATTTTGATTTCGCCATTGACCGAGATGCCATGCTTAACGCAAATTCAGAGGGGTAGAGCAATTGCGATGTTGATGGATGGTCATAGCCAAACTGCTGTTGCACGGCAATTTGGTGTTGGCCCGGGTACAATTAACCGTCTCTGTACACGTTTCCATGCTATTGGGTTAGTTTCCGATCGTCCCAGGAGCGGTCATCCGCGTGTAACGACCCAGGACAAGACAGGGCGATTTGATTGTCACACTTGCGCAACAGATTCAAGACTGCTGTAGAGACTGTCGCATACCTTAGGTACTCATGGCAGACCCATTAGTCCCCAAGTCAAGTGCGTCTTGACTGGATGCGCAGACATGGCCCAAATAGGTTTGGGATGCGTCGATGGAGGCGTGCGATGTTCACCGACGAGTCTAGATTCTGTCTGTATAGCTCAGACGGAAGAAAAAGGGTATATCGCAGACGCGGTGAGCGTTTCGCAGACGCATGCGTGGTTGAACGTGATAGATTCGGTGGGGCTTCTGAAATGGTTTGGGGAGGCATCTCCCATGGAGTAAAATCCCCCTTAGTGGTCCTGGATCAAAACCTCAATGCCGTTCGATACAGAGACCAGATCCTCCAACCACATGTCCTTCCACTTCTCAGACATCATAACCTAATTTTCCAGCAAGACAATGCTTGACCGCATGTTGCCAGAGTCTGTCGTGATTTTCTCACGGCAAACAACGTTCAGCCTCTGGCATGGCCCCCATATAGCCCCGACATGTCTCCCATTGAGCATCTGGGGGATGGGCTGGACAGGCATATTAGGAAACGTCAAAACCCCCCAACTAACCGTGCCCAGTTGATCGCAGCATTAACACAAGAATGGAACATGATTCCCTTAAGGCGAATAAATGTTCTCATGAATTCAATGCATAGGAGAATCCGTGCAGGGATTCGTGCAAAAGGTGCCCACACCAGGTACTGAAGTGTCATTTTTTTTTTCGCGGGTATCCCACTTTGAATAACTACTGATGACACGAGTGACGTCACACAGACTTTTCTTCTACAGTATTGTAAAGAGAAGTCTTGTCCCTTCATATTGATATAAAATTTTGTACAATTTTCCCAAAATATCATAGGCTATTGATTGCATAATTTAATTGTGCGTTTCTTTTTTTGTTCAGTATATTATATCATCAATGTAAACTTGTCTCTTGGTTCTCTGTACAGTAATCTATCAACAACAGATGTGATATCTTTTGTTGATATGAAAATGATCTCTAAATGGAGGTTTATATGTTTCCATTTCTGGAGTGATATTCCGATGATGGTGATTGTTCTTAAAATCAGTGCTCGATAGTTCCATATTCTAAATATAGGTTTGAATAGGTTCCATCATTCAAATTACTGTTCCTTTGCAAAGGTTACAACAATATAAATCTTTTAAACTTAATGAAGCTGGGATAAATGGTAGTCTTTGGATTGTGTAAATAGTAGTGTTTGTGTATTTCCTTCAGCTCTAAATATCAAAGATATTTGGTCAATGCTTTAACAACAAATTGGGTAAATAATTCTTGTCGTGTCACCAAAGGATGAGAACCCAGCCCAGCTCCGCTACACCAACAGTCACCCTTGATTAGGACAAATGGAAAACTGTATACAGTGGGCAAGGAAGATATTTTTGTATGTTCCATCTTTTCATGGCCTCACACATGTTTATTCTTAGTGGGCAAAGGCTAGGAAAAGGGAAGAATGAGTGCAGTAGACCATTTTGACTAGAGCGTTCGGCTAAAAGTTTGGAGGTTTCGGGTCCGAATCTCAGTAAAAAATGTCCCTTTCCTGTTATTGTCAATTGCGAATATAGATGTTTTTCATATTAAACCTTTTGCATCCAACCCAATAAAATTCCTATTTCCATTCAAAACTAGCCAGACTTAGTATGAAAACTGAAATGAACCTTGTTCCGACGTTCAACATTTTCTGTTTAGACAGGAAGTAAAATTTGGAAACTAATATAATACACGGATCGCATCGAGGACCACTATGTTCCGGAAATTATTTTAATTGGTTTGTTTATCCCTCACTCCTGGAGTTATCCAGAATGCCCATTTATGTATCGCAAAATAAAAAATATTAACTGACTCATATATGAGTGTATTTTAGTCTCACTTTAAGTTTTACATAATCATTTATCTCCGATAGGTAGCGCTCTCGCCGGCTCTCTCACTTTGCTTGTTCTTCAAATAAAAGAGTTCCAAAACAAAAACCGCCAAGCTGAATGCGGCTCGTCGCACTAATCACGACGACAGAGTATACCTAAACAGGTGATGAATGAATTACTTTTAATATTTTCCATCGGCATTTCGATACATAAGTAACTTAGGAGACAGTAATCGCATAATCCTTAGAGATACGTCTGTTACTGAAATAATAAAAAGAAGGTTTGTGTTAAAACAGTCAGTGTTATGGGATGGGGCACATTTGAGCGGTTTGAGTACTCGGTCGTTTTGAATCCGTTGTTTCGGTATGAAAAATGATGAAGAATTTGAAAATATGATATCAACAATGCCTAGAACAAATATTGTAAACAAAGCAGAAAGTTGCGAATTTCGTCAAAGTGCCCGAAAATAATATGAAATAATTTGAAGAACCGAAACGTCTTCAGGTCAAGGAATTCTGTCAATAAGTAATATTAATCCGTTTATAATTCTATCAACATAACCCCTTTACTATTGTCATCATATTTTAAAGGTTATTTATTAACATTGTCACTCACAATTATGATAATTTATTTCTCATCTCAGCTTGAGTAAATATGCAGAAATATTATGTTACCCGTCAACCTATACTATTGTTACAGGAAAGAGAATAGTGTGCTTCCAAGTTGGGGAATCAAACCCACAATTCCTAGGTTCCTAGTCGGACGCTCTACCACTGAGCTAAAAGAGAAATTCGGGATCCCTCTAGCTCGAAGCTAGGAGACCATAATTCTATGTACAATTAAAATCTGCCACACTATAAATGTTCTTGTGCTACAATTGCAATCTCTTACATCAACATGAAATCTGAACAATGCAATTCCAATACAAATATGTTAATAATAATAATAATCTTTATTTAACGTCGTGTACAATTGTCAACAACAAACATAAGCTCTGTAGAACTTTTATTACGACGCTGCTAAGGGAACAAATTAAAATGGTGTTTTCGTGGTGGAGGAAAACCCACGGAGGGAAAACCACCGTGCCATAGGAGGGATAACAACTAACCCTATTAGACATCACTCTTATTTCCACCACCGCTGGGGATCGAACCAAAATTCTTGGGAGAGCAAGTGGTCTGAAGCTCACGTTTGATAGCACACAGTAGTACAATGACTGTGCGCGTTAGCGATCACGGCTACCGAGGCAGCCACCTTGTTAGTACAAAAAAGTCTGGCAAATATAAGGTTGAGCTTCAGACATGGATATAATGACCAAAATTATACAAAACACAATGGATTATTAATGTGCAACAAGTGATCAGAAATAGTTTAAATTTGATACAGTGCAGAGTTCCATACATATTACGTATTATATATATTTTTGGTACGAAACTACCCAGACAAGTATCCAAACTACCCAGACGAGTATGCAAGTATTCCTTGGTACAAATTGCATGCCGTGATGCGCTACTAAAATAAATTGGTACAAAAAAATCTGTGACATGAACAAGTCTTAAATATCTCGGTAATGAGTACCAAAATGACTTAACTCCCAGAGGGGAATGTCATGGAGGCAAAAAGGTCTGGTGAAAATACTGTTGATAGGAACTGGGGTACTTTCAATCAAGTACATTCATATGTAGGTGTAGGTTTGGTAAGGAGATATCTGAACCAGAGTTGGTAATAGTATTGTTTTTTTGGGGTGAAGTCTTACAAAAAGGATGAAGGAATGTTGCAGAAATGAACTGGCCATGGGTCACTCACAGGTGACCAGTTAGCTCAATTAGCTATATATAGTTAGATAATCCATCTAGAGTTAGGAGGTCCTGGATTTGAATCTCACCTTAAACTTTCCTCTCTTGTTGCTGAATAAATAAAGTGTAATAATTACTATAATGACAATACAGTGGATGTTTAAAAAATCTGCATGGCTATGCTGATTGCAATTGTACACCTATATAGTGGATTGTTGATTGCTTACAAATATATTACACTGATCTAATTATACTTAGTGAGTTAATTGTTTCATTTTTGAGTCACAGTTTTATCTGGTTGTCCAAGAACTAATGAGTAGCAGTGTTAAACTCAGGGGGAAAGCAAATAATGCCCATACCTTCCCCCAGCTTCGTGAGCCAAGGGTGTTCAATACGATACTCTCCTATATAGCTAGGAGAGTATCGTATTGAGCACCCTTGGCTCGCGAAGTTGACCTTCCCCTTGGTAGCTCTGAAAATTAAATAAATCTTGTATAGTTATATAGCAGCAAGATTCCCTCACCCCCATGGCCATCTTATCCTCGGGAAAATACTTCTCTTCTGTACCTGGTCGTAGTTACTCTAATAAGTCAGCTAAAACAGGTCAATTATCTTCTGTATTGAATGTTAACCAAGATCCAGACCCTGATACACATGACTGATTGTACTTCTACAGCTTACTATTAAAACATTACTGTATAGACAATAAGGAAAATTTGTGAAAAAGATATTGCCAGCAATTATGTATGTTGACAAATATGTCTGAAAATAATACTATAAATTATCATTAGTCTGATATCAAGAAGTACAAATAGTGTATATAATAGTTATTTCCACAATTTACTCCAATATCTAAATGGTTAACATTCAGAATAAGTCTTTGTGATTGATGTAATGCATGGGATCCAGAAAGTAGCTACATGTAATGGGTAACCCGAATTCAAGGGGAATAACTCATGTACCTGGTAATGCTTTTCCTCAAGGTTCTTCCCTAAATTATGTACTATGTAAAAATGGACAGATTTCTTGCTTTTATTTCAGTCCCAGAACATGTGTAAGCAATGAGTTCCAAGTTAACGGCAAACCCTGATTTGGATGTGTTTAAAGAGGAGAGGGAAGGAAAGCTACGAGAAGTTGGTGGTCATGCAGTCTGGTCATTGTCTTCATGTAAACCAGGTATACTCTTAAAGATAGTCACTATCAATGGGTATCAACTTCTAGAAACTAAAATTTAATGTTAAATATTTTGTATTAAATCAAACCTGATTAAACACATTTGTTGGTGTTGGTATATCCTCATAACATGTGTTGTGTTGATATATTTGCCAACCTATTAAAATTTCCATGCAAGATATTCTGTGAACTCAAAATTAAAACATCAATAAAATACTGTATGTGTGAATGGGAAAGTTGACACTTTAAAATGACTTCTTTTAAGTTGTTCTATTAGATTCTTGAATGAAGAAATACTTCAGCAAATTTTTGTTTTTTTGAAATTGTTCAATATAAGGGTCCAATATTGGGAGTCTCCCTTCAACATAGGGAGAGTAAGCCAGTATGGTACTGGTATACTTGTTGGAATTACCTTGTAAATAACTTAAAGTTCACATTCGGAGACATTTACAAAATAGAAATGTTTAGGAATAATACCTTCAAACTGAGTTTGTTTTACCACCAAATATTTCTCTTTGTTATTGTGTGAAGTAGTTTGTGACTCAGAAGAGTTGATTATAAATACTCAGTTATACAACAATACACTATATTACAATGTTATACAACAATACGCTATATTACAATGTTACACCAATACGCTATATTACAATGTTATACAACTATACACTATTACAATGTTATACAACAATACGCTATATTACAATGTTATACAACAATATGCTATATTACAATGTTATACAACTATACACTATATAACAATGTTATACAACAATACACTATATTACAATGTTATACAACAATACGATATATTACAATGTTATACAACTATACACTATTACAATGTTATACAGCAATACGCTATATTACAATGTTACACCAATACGCTATATTACAATGTTATACACCAATACGCTATATAACAATGTTATACAACAATACGCTACATTACAATGTTATACAACAATACGCTATTTTACAATGTTATACAACAATACGCCATATTACAATGTTATACAACAATTCGCTATATAACAATGTTATACAACAATACGCCATATTACAATGTTATACAACAATATGCTATACTACAATGTTATACAACTATACACTATTACAATGTTATACAACAATACGCTACATTACAATGTTATACAACAATACGCTTTATTACAATGTTATACAACAATATGCTATACTACAATGTTATACAACTATACACTGTATAACAATGTTATACAACAATACGCTACATTACAATGTTATACAACAATACGCTATTTTACAATGTTATACAACAATACGATATATTACAATGTTATACAACAATTCGCTATATAACAATGTTATACAACAATACGCTATATTACAATGTTATACAACAATACCCTATATTACAATGTTAAACAACAATACGCTATATTACAATGTCCTGTTACAGGTTTTGGCGTAGACCAGTTGAGAGACGATTCCTCGGACACATACTGGCAGTCTGATGGTCCTCAACCACACCTCGTCAACATTCAGTTCCGCCGCAAAACCACCATCCACGACATCTGTATCTACACAGATTACAAGGCAGACGAGAGCTACACGCCCAACAGGTATGGTTTGTCACCAATAACATCAGTTTACATCACATATTATAAAAACATATATAAAAATCAGGTTAAAACTGAGCCTTTATATATGTTGACTGTAGATGGAGGTTGATGCTTCAAGATCGAGGTTACATTGTAAGCTGCCTTATGTCATTTAAAACAAAAAGATGGTATGTAAAGAATGGTTTATGAAAATGCTACATTTATTTACTGTTTTGTTTGGAGGATAAAGAACAATATGTTGTCATGATCACTGCTGCATCATTTCCTTTTAGCCAGCCATCACCTGATGGAGTGCTGTTTCTATTGCTTGCCGTCTCTGGCACATCATCAGTTTTTCTGTAAATAATTACTGTCAGCATTTACATAAAAGTATTTTTAAAAACCATGATAAAACTAGGGGCATAGGGGTGGGGCTTTGTTTGAAGTTTGCTTGCTATATCTCAAGTACTGGATGGATCTTTCTGAAATTTCATATGTACTTACAGCACCTACCATGGAGTGCTATATCTTTACTTCATACCAATTATTTTAAACATATTTAGGTGAGCGATACAGGCCCTTTGGGCCACTTGTATATACATTGTGTCAAGTTTGCTATTTCTTGGGATCTACTGAAGAGATCATGACCAAAAATGGTATACATTATCCCCAGTCATTGTTTGTTCCTGCTGCCAAAGTATCATATTCTGTGGCCTCTTTGATTTTGTATCAGTATTGTACACAGCCACGTTTGTTTCCACAATTTCCCAGGAAGTACTAAATGGATAATGATGAAATTTGTATTTATGACCCATTGCTCCAATTTTAGAAGGCCAGATAATCTAGTATAGATCAAGCCCGTCAAACACCTTCATTTACATTTTCTCCTTGGTACCCCAGTACATGTTCTTGTCCAGGAAAAAACCCAAAGAAATCAAGACCAAACTTACAGCGACTGTTTATTATCCTTAGTCGGTTGACCTCCAGATTCCCTAGTGATTTGAATTTTAATAAGTACATATGAATAGAAATGCTCATACCATTATTTTGAATGAGATAAATATCACTATTGTCCATAACATTAATACTGTTGTAATTTCTGTCATTTTCAGGATATCCATCCGTGCTGGAAGCCATTTCAATGACTTGTTAGAAATTGAACAAATTGAGCTAAGTGAACCGGTGGGCTGGGTGTCCATCCCTATGAAACAAGTGAACAATAAGCCAATAAGGACGTTTATGGTACAGATAGCTGTGTTATCCAACCATCAAAACGGCAGAGACACACATCTACGCAGGATCAAAATACGCTCGCCTGTCCACGACTTATCCATGGCTAAAATGCCTAAGTTTACCAGTGTAGAACTGTTACAATATGCTTATATTAAATAGTTTAAATTAATCCCAAATGGAGTTGTCAAGCGTTTCATTCACATGTAGAAATCAAGAGCGAAAAATAAGTATGGTACGAGTGAAAAAAACAATATCATTTCACTTTTAAAGAACAAAGACTGAATTCATACCAAGGATTCCTTGATATCTTTATCCTTTAAATTGTATCAATTCAATGATTCTACATATTCAAATTGGTCTCCCATCCTGAAGGGGGCCGCGGTGGCCAAGTGGTTAAGGCGTCTAACATTCTGCTACCACTAGCCCTCCACCATTGGGTCGCGAGTTCGAGGCCTTCGTTGGGCAGTTGTCAGGTACTTGGCATATATAGGTCAGTGGTTTTTGTTTGGGAACTCCAGCTTTCCTCCACCAACAAAACCTGGCACGTCCTCAAATGACCATAGCTGTTAATAGGACGTAAAACACAAACAAACCAAACCAAAACTCCCACACTGAGTTGCTTGTCAAACATGAATTGAAGCCCAATCTTTAAAAATAAAAATCTTTATTATGCTTTTCCATACAGAGTACATGTAGTGTAAAACTTACCAACATCTGTATATAACCATAAAACCTTCCATATATTAATCTTTAGTGTTCATAACATCTATTCAGTTAGAGCGTTACATTTCATGTTTTGTATATAGATATATTGTTACTATTATATATACTATATCTACTGGAATGAGTCCATACCTACATGTATAGCTAAATATGGCACAAATTATTTTTTGTACTTTTTAGGCTAAAGCTTTAAGTAGCATATAAAAATCAATGTTTCCAGCTACATGTATTACATAATCAATCGTCCCAGGTACATAGACAAAAATCACCTTGGTTAAATAAATAGTAGTAATAGTACCAACACCAGTTTTAAGTTACCTATATGAATAGCAACATTCCTTTTGAACTAGCCTTGTACAGAGCTTCCTTAATCCCATTGCAACTATATAATACAGCAATATAAATGTGTTTATATTGACTCCAATTCACTTCCAATATACCCGGTACATTATCTGTAACACAGCTTGTCATCTGAGCATGTTTGATTCAAAAGATGAGCAGTCCTGTCATGTAAATATAAACCAGAAAAACTATTCAAGCCAAAGGGAAACAACTGCTTTTACCCTGACCACAGCAATGTTGGAGAAGAATAGTTGTAATGGACAAAATTAACACTAACATTAATTCATGGTAAATGTGTAGAGGCAAAAGTTGTCATGTTGCATATATTAATAATATCTATAGTATGATTTTATCTTTTTTTTTTATCTTCATGTTATAAAGTATCTCAAAATTCTTAATTCTTATTCAGAAATGTTAAACAAAAAATCATTTTGTAATATTGACAAAAAATCATTTTATTACAAAGGGAGATAACACTGGAACTATTCCATCCTTGAAGGGAGTTCTTCTTCCAAACCCTAAACTTTCAACTCTGTTGCAACCAACATTTGCATTATATGGTCTGGTTGCTCCAACTGATGGGTTTTTGTCAGCCTCAATGTGACTTGTTGAAATCCCCAGAGCTGTAGCCATAGCGACAGCCATATCATACTTGGTCATGTTTTCGTCCCCACTCCAATGATATATTCCTCCTATGCTGGCATCCTGAAGAAATACACACATGTGTTTGAAAATTGAATGATTTTTTGATTGATAATTATTTTTATCCTTCTAGGCTTCTACATTCATTTATGAGATGTTGTAAAAATTAGACATATTCAACACTTCTGTGATACTGGGTATGACTAAACAGAAATATAATCACACCCAACAGGCTGGCATCAGTCTAGATTCAAGATTTTGATCAGTAGTTTGTAAACATATTACTTTTTTTCAGTATTAGAATATTTGGTTATATCAGAAGAAAAATGGATAAGGCATGTGCAGGACAAAAATGGTCACAGTGCACAGGCAGATAAGGATGAAGCAGAGATATGGCCAATATTGATATACAGCTTCCAGTACTTCACATGAAAAATGGTCAATATCACTGACAATTATATACCTTAAGTTGAGGAACTGAACACTTCAACTAAATTTCATTTTTTTATGAGTTATGAAATAACTTTTGAAACCTGCAGTGTAAAATATCTTTCTGGATTCAAGGAAAAAATCAGCTCGCTATTAATATGAATGTCAAGAAACTTAAATAGTTTTGCTAATGATATCGGGTCCAGGAGAGTAGGCTGGTACATGTTGTACATACCTGTAGCTTTTTGTCGGACAACTGTCTGATGACCACTGCTATGTCGGCACAATGTGTTGGAAACCTCCGCTCGTAATCGTTCATGATACATTTATGTCCCGTGTCCTTGACCTTATCAAACAGAATAGTGACAGCACTCTCATCAAGGTTCTGCACATCTCCATACAGGATAGGAACACGTAACACGCCGTTATCTGTGGATCAAACAGTAGGATGAAGGAGGAAAGTTTTATTATTTCTACCTCATCTTATGATGTGTTTGCATAATTCATCACAATGCTTGCTAAATTCTTCAATTTTGAGGTAGACATCAGAACTTTTGTGATAATCCTTTGGCTGCCAGTCATTAATTACTGCTGAAGACGAACTAGACTGGACCTAATTTATATATCCAATGAGGAGTAAACGTAGACATTCAGAAAATTCTGTTTTATCAATACTAGTTATTTAAAAACTGAATTATCTGAAATTGAAGTTACTACTGCATCATTAATCTAAAAGATTTACTGGTAAAGGCAACAAATTTTAGAAAGAAAAAAACATTTAACATTATGAAACAATTAAGTTTGTACTTTATATACAACTAATAGAAACTGTCTCAAAAGACCATTTCCAAAATTGCTAGACGATCCTTTCAAGTGTTATACAGTATACTGTATTATAGTATTTAGCAGAATGCATGTTAACAACTACCAGAAGAATTTGATAAGTTGTCTCCCCTTGTCTTATTTTTAATGCTTGTTTTTTTATGTCTTACCTTTTGAAACCTCCAGAGTGACCAGTTCTCCGTCCCGTTTGCTGACCCCGTACTTGTTAAGAGGATTGGTTGATGCGTCCTCGTTGTATGGAGGATTCTTGCCATCAAACACATAGTCAGTACTGATGTATAGCACCCAGGCTCCTGTCTTCACTGTCAAGCAAGATTAATTCTGGATAAGATGAACTTAAATCAACTATTGCTACCGTCTTCCCAGGAAAATATGTTGTCTAAGAAGTTTATAGTGACTGACCATAACGTTACTTTGCTCTATTTGGTTAAAGGTTTTAGAAATGTTGGTATTGCTAAAAGTATATCATCAGCCTTGCTACAGTTCAAATATTTAAAAAGAAAATAAGAAAACTTTCCTCAACTGCCAAGCTAACATACACAACTCCTTCTAATCCAGTTTATTTAATAGTTTGAAAACACTTTAATATCTTACCTTGTGGACATGATAATGATTGTATTTTGAAGATATTACAGGAAATTCATGTACAGTTGTGTTAAACACATCCAAGTATTATATTTTATTTTGGTGATATAGGTATTCATTGTTATCTTGATTTAAAAAACAAAAAATTTGCATTCAATAAGGGTCTCACCTGCTAATTCACAAATGTGTCTAGTGGCATCGATGTTTAGCCTCCGAGTAGCTTCTGGTTGCTTTTCCACAGCATCTGGTTTACGTTCTGCAGCACTGTGTATTACTACCTGAGGCTGTGAACAATGAAAGTGACTAATATATTTAGTTCCTATGTAGACCAGTCTTAAGGACACATGCTACGTTACTGTGAAATCAACCCCCTTTACAAAAGAGTTCCGCGCTAAAAAAAATAACTTGCACTTTGTGACTGGTAATTTTGACTTGGTTTATATTATTGACATATTTTAAATTTACACAAGAAGTTTAGATTGGAGTCATTTATAACATCCCATTTAAGTCATTCTGATTAAAAAAATAAGAATAATTGAAAATATTTTAAGGGCGATAATCCACAACACAAATCGGGTTTGATATGTAAGGTAACATATAACCTTAACTTCAACACACAACATTATAAAAGTCAAGTGTTAAGTCTCTCTATTTGTACTGGAAACTTCTTGTTTATCAGCCATAGTCGCATACATCAATACTCCCCCTTTTTTACTTGGAAAGTATTTGATAAGTTTTTGATATCTGCATGTATTGACAACTTTATTTAAAATTTCCGGTCAAAAAAATGCCATGAAAATGGTGTGAGTAAAATATTTCCCCAATAAACACGATTGATTGAATAGATTGCTTTCTTTGACTTTGGTGCTTGATGCCTTAAATGTTCCCATAAATTATCTGCCTTAATTGACACCTTAAAACAATAGTATTACATGACATGAAGGCAATCACCTATATAGCTACTTGAGTTCAAAGAGGCTGGAATTCCTGTGCAATAATTAATGTACATGGAATAGCAAGAAATAAAATCAGCAATATCCCTACTCAAATTTGATTTTATTATTGCGAGGCTAAAAGTGAAATAATTACCTTAAAATCATCAAAGACTTTATTTAGTTCATCATTTGATGTAATGTCCACTTTACGCAGGTTTCCACTCGCTCGTGAAAATGCAAGCCCCAACACTTCCCATGATGCATCACTCAAAAATTCCTTGTACACAGCTCTTCCCAAGAGTCCAGAGGCACCAGTTATCAACACTCTCCTCGCCATGGTTACTGCTGTCTATAAAATTTTATGTGATGAGACAGTGAACTATTCATTTTGTGTTTATAATTGCATGGCCAGGTGCACCTGGTTTTAATACTTTTTCCCCAGACTTTTATATTTTTATAAATAGGTGCAGTTTTTATTTGATGGTTCTGGTTAGTAATGGTTATTTGAATTGCTTTCAATTTTTTTCAACTAAGTTAATCTTACGACAGCCAATTTTGTACAAAATATATTATTGAGATTGGTGGATGTTTAAAATGATTGACAAGAGTAGGTTATGGCGGTCAGCCTTACTGTTATCCATTATTGTAGATATTAGAGCTATGTATATAAACATACAGTCAGTTACCCTGGGGAGAGCACTATTATTGCATGTCATTGATAAAAAGAAGGCCAGAATTAAATGATCTACCAGAAACAGTTCAGTTATGTCATAAGGTCACTTGTCACTTAACAAATGATATACAACAATAGATCATGTTGTACATAAGGCTATTTATTTACATGGACATTTATATTTACAGTATTAAGTATACAACTATAGTAAGAACATACTTGAACATTTGTTGTCATGTATTATGTTTTTAAATAACAGCATTGATTCAGTACAGTATTGAGGTTATTACAGTGAAGGTATCACAAGGCAGTAGTTTGAACACCCAATTTTCATTGGGTATAACAACACAGCTCTAGACTTGCTATTCATTAGCTACAGCCGTACTACTATTCATACTAGTTAAAACAGCACTGCTCTGATCGCTAAGCAGTATTTAAAATAACACTGCTCTCACATGGCAGTTGTTGAAATACGACTCCTCTCATCTGGCAGATGTTAAAACAGCACTGCTCTCTCACATGGCAGTTGTTGAAATACGACTCCTCTCATCTGGCAGATGTTAAAACAGCACTCCTCTCACTTGGCAGTTGTTAAAGCAGCACTGCTCTCTCACATGGCAGTTGTTGAAACTGCACTACACTTTCACTTGGCAGTTGTTAAAACAGCACTGCTCTCACTAAGCAGTTGTTAAAACAGCACTGCTCTCTCATGAGGCAAATGTTAAAACAGCTCTGCTCTCTCACCTGGCAGTAGCTAAAAAGCACTGCTCTCTCACTTGGCAGTAGTTAAAACAGCACTGCTCTCACATGGCATTAGTTAAAACAGCACTTACACTATCACTTGGCAGTTGTTAAAGCAGCACTGCTCTCACTTAACAGTAGTTAAACAGCACTGCTCTCTCACTTGGCAGTAGTTAAAACAGCACTGCTCTCACATGGCATTAGTTAAAACAGCACTTACACTATCACTTGGCAGTTGTTAAAGCAGCACTGCTCTCACTTAGCAGTAGTTAAACAGCTCTGCTCTCTCGCTTGGCAGATGTTAAAAAAGCACTGCACTCTCACCTGGCAGTTGTTAAAACAGCACTGCTCTCACATTATGTAGGAGTTAAAACAGCTCTGCTCTCTGACAAACAGCACTGCTTGCACTTGGCAGTTGTTAAAACAGCACTACTCTGACTTGGCAGTTGTTAAAACAGCATTGCTTTCTTATTTGGCAGGAGTTAAAACAGCTGTACTCTCTCACTTTGCTGTTGATAAAACAGCACTGCTCTGATTTGGCAGTTGTTAAAACAGCACTGCTCTCTCATTTGGCGGACTAATTTGGCAGTAGCTAAAACAGCACTGCTCTCTCACTTAGCTGTTGTAAAAATAGCACTGTTCTCACCTCGGAACGGCAAAAATAATAATAATTAAATGTTAAGGCCACGGTTATTGGCTCGTTATGAGAAACCCCTTCCCGGACAATATTACATAGAATCTATGATAGATAGATAGCACAGTGCCTACATGTCGAGTATCTACATGTTTAGCGTTAGTGTGTATAGGTGCTCAGACCCTGACAAGTCATTGTTTCCATAGTCTACATGTTGTGGATAGTTTACAACCACCGTACTAGAGAAAAACATGCACCATACTAACGAATGTCAACAGTCCACATACTCGCACATCTCACCTTCCAGGTTTAAACAAATTCGGTTAGAGTTGTCCCCCTTAACTTGTATGATGTTTTTTTTCTGATCAGGATGAGGCACCTTCAGGGGTACTCGTTTACCTGTATGGGTCAGTTATTCGTGTCCGTTATGATCAGGGAACACACCACAGTCTTTAAATGTTTATGATTGGTATTATTATTATTATATTAATATTGTACGTATGTGATTGTTATGATAATTATAAAATAAAACCGTACATGACTCAACAGGACTCCACTAGTCATTTCTAAAATTAGCCAATCGGACTATACCTTTCTAAATTTGGCAGAATAAGTCATTTCATGTGATGGATTTGGGTCTATCACCTAATCAGCATAACTGTGATATCCTAGGGTAATCAAGGTGAGTAGCAGAATATACATTGTATACGTACTGTTTAGTCTCTAGAATGGCAATGTATTGATTTTCTGCGCCACATTAATGAATTGTACAGCTAGGTACCTGCTGTTCAACACATCTTAATAACATAGCAACATTATGAATTATGTAATTTTCATTGATTGATATGGTATACATATCTACATATTGTATAGTTGCTGAATATGAATTAAAAATTTAATGTAATGTATATATATAACAGAAATTAATATACAGTTTAAACTAAAAATCACACTTTCAAGATCAGGCCCATGTGTCACATGTTCTACAGCTTTTCATTAAAAGATATTTGAATTTAAAAGTCTGGAAGAGTGGTTTGCTTATTTTACAAAACAAGATCATGTTTCGTCAGTACAATCGGGTACAATAGCACCTTCTTACTTCCGTTTCGTTCGTATATCCATTTTTCGCCACATCTATCTGGAAATAACAATGGCTATCAAGCAATTAACAACGGATTAATCTTCTCGCACTCTTTAACAAGTCCTATCTTCCGATCATGATTGTGGTATGTCGGTTTGCCCGAGTTGACATGTCTGTCAAAATGTCTAAGTCTGGTGTCAGGGCCAGAGGTTACTCGGGCTAATACCAGACATATATCTGTCAAAATGTCTAAGTCTGGGGTCAGGGCCAGAGGAAACTCGGGCCGACAGTAATACCAGACATAAATCTGTCAAAATGTCTAAGTCTGGTGTCAGGGCCAGAGGAAACTCGGGCCGACAGTAATACCAGACATATATCTGTCAAAATGTCTAAGTCTGGTGTCAGGGCCAGAGGTTACTCGGGCTAATCCCAGACATATATCTGTCAAAATGTCTAAGTCTGGTGTCAGGGCCAGAGGAAACTCGGGCTGTATGTTGGTATGTATACACAAATAGTACAATAATTGAACACCTACATGTTTTAAAATCAGGCTACAGTGTAGCAGTTAAGTGACAGCGAAGTAATTCCTTTCCTATGATTTTTTGCATGTCTTTGATCGCATTCGAAGGGGATGATGGGGTAATTTATATTTCAGGTGACGTTTTCGGCCTCGATGAAAATTGCTCAAATCAGGTTACGAGCGATAGACAGACAAACAAATTAAGTCCACAAAGGTTTCATTACGTGGCATTTACACTTGGTCAAGTCACCCTTCATGTCACTTGAATCACTCGGATTAAAAAAAACCAGTTTTAGTCATAGCTGCCAGAACCGGAGCTTAATTCTAGGCCCGATCGTTTTTTTTATTATCAGACCATAGATCAGATAATAAAAAATTAAACAATAAAACGATTGGGCCTAGAAGCAACGGTTTCCGGAGCTATTTTAGTCATTGCAGGTGCCGATACTGTATAGTGTCGGGTTTATCATTTCAAAAACTGAAATATATAAATATTTTTGTCTTTAGTAAGAAATTTAAAACATGTTAACAAAATATTTTCACTTCTTCCTTCCCCAGATGGCAACGCGTATTGGCACACAACACGACTACAAAGGTGCGACATTTCTTTCGTTTTACACTTCATGGTAGTATGGTGACGTCAGGTTTGTCTGTCGACACTGAAACCGGAGATGCAAGACAAACGGACACTTTTTAAACCGGAAGTGGATATACAGATTTCAAAGACCGAATATTAAGTCTTGCCACACGACGAGGAAATATTGTATGCATTAATAACAGATAAAACTGAAACCAAACACATGGTACAAAAATATGGAAAACGATAGTGCAATACCAACGGATAACCCGGAAACGGATTCTGACCATGTCAAGGTTTCAAACGAGTTTGAGATTTATTTAGTACCTGAACCTCTGAAAATAGTATCCAATGCTATAGTTGATGGCGATTTCACATTATACAAGTCTACCTTCTGTAAAGGAATTTTTGATGTGAAAGAAGCCTCATGGATTTTGCACTTGATCTGTAAACGACAGATTGGTGCGAGCGCTGCCGAGTTTTTGCGGGAAGCCATTCGATATGGATGTGACACTAGAGCTAAAGATAACATTGAATATATGCCTATACATGTCGCTTGCTCATTTGCAAATTACCATGCCGTGAAGTTCCTAGCTGACCTCGATCCGTCACTCTGTAACGAAGTCGTTGAGAACTCGGTGTCTTTCTCCCCTCTCATGATGGCAATTGATAAATTTTCAACCGAGAAAGCAGATGATTTTTCCAAAACGGTAGAGGTCCTTGTCAAATACGGAGCAGAGGTTAATACAAGTATGAGAAGCTACAGCAACACACCACTGTTGAGTGCCGTGTTTCATTACGAAAGGATGCCAGATATTGTTCGTATTTTACTTGACGCTGGTGCTGACGTCACTGCGCGTTCTTTAATGTACAGAACACCTCTTATTTTGGCCGTCTCTCAAAATGACGAGCAGTCCGTTATATACCTTCTTAAAGCCAAGTCGGACCCAGATGCAAAGGACAAAATGGGCTGGACACCTCTACGACTCGCTTGTCAGAAACAATACGCACCAATCATACGAGATCTTGTTCAATATGGCGCAGATATCAATTGTGAAAGGAATAAGAACAACAAAGACATATTGACCGATGCCATCCAAACGTCACATGGCGATATTACGGCACTTCTGTTCGATCTGGGATTGAAGGTTACACCAGAAATCATCATGTTACAAAATCCTGTGGTGCGTGCAATAAGGAAGAGAAGCAACACACATCTGAAGATTCTACTTCGCGAGAATTGTCCACTTGACGAGCCTTTACACGAACTTCCGTTAATAGAGGCAGTTCAGACGAATAACACTGATGCTGACGTGTTGGATACTCTCATCCAATCAGGAGCTGACTTTTCTGACGCACTGTTAGATTGTGCATTAACCGCCAGGCCAGGAGATGAGGTGTTGGCGAGTTTGGTGGCGAGATATCACCAGGACGTCAGGACGCTGAAGACGCTTTGTAGTTTCTGTGTTAGAAAGTATCTTGGCCTCGGAATCAAAGGAAAGGTTCAGCGTCTGGTTGACGATCACGTGGTCCCTCGATCTCTTGTTAAGGATATTATGTTGGAGCATGTTCTCAATGTGTAAACAGTATATACTATATCGATCGCTTTGACATCCGAAGAGGAGGTCCAGCATTAAACATAACACATAATATTATTTAAAGCTGCTGAAATGAAATTACTCTGGAATGTTGAATTCAAACTTGGGATTACCTTTTTGTGTCATCTGTGAAACAAGAAAGTTATCAAAAATAAAGTTTGGTATTGAGAAAAAAATATACCTGCTATTACTCCCTACATATTGTAAAATACAAAGGGGGGAGGGGGGATCAAGTAAATCTGCTGCACCCATGGCAACAATATTTCGCTATCTTATTTCTCTATATCTCTAGCTACCTTTTTTTTCTAGCGCCTTCAATCACTTGGCAATTCTTTACTTCTGGCTTTAGTGTTGAATGTTCGCCTGGGTGAGGAAGGCAATGGGCTCTGTCCCCATGACATGACATACCAAAGTCCATAGAAAAGGGGTGCATATTTCCTGCTAAACATCGTTCAGCATTTAGGGTAATGGCAACAACTGGTTCACCCTTTGTCAGTATAATGTGACCGGGCGGAATGCTTCGGCGTGGTATTTCAGTGGCGTAACAATATAAAGGATCAGATCAGCGCTATCGCAAGGAGGCAAATACACCTACATACCATGTCTTCATCATATATACATTGCACACATACATTTCACACCTAAGTCACGTTCTTAAGTGACATTGGCTGTTATTAGAATGTTAAACCGTATGAAACTTAACTTGGTTCGTTTCCTAATGTCTTACCCCAACAGAACCCAAAACCCAAACCAAGAAACATACCGTTCAAAAAGGGTAAAGGTAAAGCTTACACGGCACTAAATGTAACTATTATTCTATTATAGTATGCTGCACGTAATAATATAGAAAATATGTTTTTGAACTTTATTTACCTCCATTGAGATAATTGGTCAAAGTATACATTTTAAGTTGCAGTGAATAAGATGTCATACATATAAGCTTTCTATCCTCTTCATGAGTACACTATAGATAATAATAATTAATATCCATCTATGTACTGTATTACAAAAATAATAAAGACGAAATACTCCGGGAACGGCCTTGAATGATATCTGAAGCCAAAGTATAGGTCGCAGTGACCTGTATTTGGTACGAGTCATTTTTCTTTTTTAGATGACGTACCAAGTTGATTATCCTGAATGAAAGATGAATATTAAACGTTTGCTTCGGAAACTTGTTTAACCAGTAATGAATATGCATAATATGCGTCCCGAATTTGACTCCTGTAATTTTTGTTCTCGTTTTTAATTAATTAATATTTTCAAATACTCAAATCGTGAACAACTTTATTTCTGTAAGATGCATCGCAAAGTGAGATAAATTATTTAGGGGCCATCAAGAGTGATTAATAGAAGTTGAAATTACTTGTTTCATAATTGTTGTAAAAAAAATAATGTTTATACATGGATGTGATTTATTATGTAAAAATAACAAACACAAAAGCGACAATTGTAATTAATATATTTTGACCTGGTAGTACTCTTTGGTGGACTTTTTTTACATTCAGTACTCAGTAAATAAACGAATCCCCGAGCACCATGTCATTCGACGACTTTAACTGTACTACACAGGAGAGGCATTAACACTGCCAGACATTGTAACAGTACATTGGGAACTTTTGACGTATATTTATGCAGCTTGTATGGAGCTTTGATAAATACTTTCAGAACTTACAAAAAATAATATAGATAGAATACACAAAAATATTTAGAAAGAAAAAGTAGAAAAATCAACAGCAGTGTCATAAGTGTCAAAAACTTACGAAAAATAATATAGATAGAATACACAAAAATGTTTAGAAAGAAAAAAGGAGAAAAATCAACAGCAGTGTCATAAGTGTCAAAAATACCACGGGGCCAGAGCACAGGAACCTGAGAATTTATTACATCTATATTTGGACCTAAACAAAGGTGTTCAGAGTAATTTGACGTGTGTTAGGGGTTCATATTGACTTTCGGTAAAAATGTCATCCCATTGATCATTGGGGGGTCATTTTTACCTAAAGTCGATCTACACGCCTAAAACATGTAAAACTACTCTGAACACCTTAGTTTAAGTCCAAATATAGCTGTAACAAACTCTCATGTCCCTGTGGGCCAGAGCAGTATACCTTCCCTCTCACTAATTAAGCTGACCGAGTCGCACTACAGTTAAATCCAAAATATAATTAAGGAGCTATTGAACGGAATACTACTGTAGATTTCTCTAGTGTCTTATACCTGCGGTGGGACAGGGATCCTTAATCGCGGGTGTGTGCAGAGCGTTATGTTCTGTGTACGCATAAAGTCCTAATTAAGAACCTGTGTAGAACCTACCCACGGTGTTTGTACAAAGAACCTACCCATATCAAAGCCAGTCACTCAATCGATACCAATCGATACAATAAAGTTTAATGAGTAACTTGATATGTCTTAATTCTATTGTTTGGTCTGAGATTATCTTTTTTTTTATTGTATAATAAGTTTGGGAAAATGTAGAACTGTAGATAAAACATAAACCATGTGACCGACTTGCGTACGAATCCAATGTCAACTCTCACGCGTCAGCAGATTTGTGTGCCTTTCAAACTGTCACCGGTACAGATTAGTTATATATCTCTATAACGGAGCGACACCCATACTGGACAACACACATATATACACTACCCTGCTACCTTGTGGTCTGTTCAGTGGTGGTATTGTTACACTCCTCAGGTAAACCTAAGTGTTGTTGGAAGGGACAGCTAGATCTCTGGAGCCAAGTCGTACTAGGTATGTTGATTGTTGGAACAAATATTCATTTAACAATGAACGGAGAATAATTTCGTATAATAAGTACACGTACACATACTGATATAGCGTTAACATAGCTTTCTGTATTTATAGGACGAACATTTTGCAGAAATTAATAAACATGGATAGTAAACATTACTTACTTTATGATGTTCTCTGTCTGGGTTAGAAAGCTTTATGATGTTCTCTGTCTGGGCTAGGAATGTTCGCCACGATTTATACTGTTCTATGTCTGGGCTAGGGACGTTCGACAAGCTAACATGGATAGTAAACATTACATACTTTATGATGTTCTCTGTCTTCGCTAGAAAGCTTTATGATGTTCTCTGTCTGGGCTAGGAACGACTAGCTTATAATGTTCTTGGTCTGGGCTAGGAATGTTCGACAAGCTTATTTAGGAATGTTCTCTGTTTGGGCTAGGAACGACTAGTTTATAATGTTCTCTGCCTGGGCTAGGAACGACTAACTTATAATGTTCTCTGCCTGGGCTAGGAACGACTAGCTTATAATGTTCTCTGTCTGGGCTAGGAACGACTAGCTTTATGCTGTTCTCTGTCTGGGCTAGGAACGACTAGCTTTATGCTGTTCTCTGTCTGGGCTAGGAACGACTAGCTTTATACTGTTCTCTGTCTGGGCTAGGAACGACTAGCTTATAATGTTCTCTGTCTGGGCTAGGAACGACTAGCTTTATAATGTTCTCTGTCTGGGGTAGGAATGTTCGACAAGCTTTATGATGTTCTCTGCCTGGGCTAGGAATGTTCGACTAGCTTTATGATGTTCTCTGTCTGGGCTAGGAACGACTAGCTTTATACTGTTCTCTGTCTGGGCCAGGAATGTTCGACAAGCTTTATGATGTTCTCTGCCTGGGCTAGGAATGTTCGACTAGCTTTATGATGTTCTCTGTCTGGGCTAGGAACGACTAGCTTTATGCTGTTCTCTGTCTGGGCTAGGAACGACTAGCTTATAATGTTCTCTGTCTGGGCTAGGAACCACTAGCTTTATAATGTTCTCTGTCTGGGGTAGGAATGTTCGTCAAGCTTTATGATGTTCTCTGCCTGGGCTAGGAACGACAAGCTTATAATGTTCTCTGTCTGGGCTAGGAATGTTCGACAAGCTTTATGATGTTCTCTGCCTGGGCTAGGAACGACAAGCTTTATGATGTTCTCTGTCTGGGCTAGGGATGTTCGACAAGCTTTATACTGTTCTCTGTCTGGGCTAGGAATGTTCGACAAGCTTTATACTGTTCTCTGTCTGGGCTAGGGATGTTCGACAAGCTTTATACTGTTCTCTGTCTGGGCTAGGGACGACTAGCTTTTAATGTTCTCTGTCTGGGCTAGGGATGTGCGACAAGCTTTATGCTGTTCTCTGTCTGGGCTAGGGACGTTCGACAAGCTTTATGATGTTCTCTGTCTGGGCTAGGAATGTTCGACTAGCTTTACACTGTTCTCTAGATGTGGGCATAACAGCTAGCTGTATAGTGATCTCTACCGGTCTACTTTGATTAGCATAAGTTGTTATTAATTAGCTTTTCATTCAAAAACATAACAGATAGGGAGGACATATTTCAATTTCAAATAAATAATTTCTAGAAATTCAATATTGACCGTAAGATTGATGACCGAGATCAAGTTTCTGTATCGATTGGTATTATTGCTTTCATAATGTGTTTTTTTTATAGAAATATTTAGAATGGATTATAATTGGTCTTATTTAGGAAAACTTTACAAAGAACATATGAACACAGAAAAATTGTTCAAGGAAAAACTATTAATTCAAAACATTTGAAAGGAAGAAATCCCTGAATGAATGCGTATTAAATTTTCTTTCAAAAGAGAACTGTTTAAATCTAGCAATATTTCCATAGCGTTATCACTTTTATTTCTAAGGGCTATATAAGGGTATTCTGGCTTGTTTATCTATTCCGTTTACTGCGTATACTTACCTGAATTGATATTAATTGCGTATGATATATAAAGAAAACAAAACAAATTATAAACTGGTGTACAACATGACCAGGCCGTGACATTAGAAGACACATGTCTAGGTATGTGTGCGTACGTACATGTCGTGGTAAAATTCAAGGTTAAGTCATATCTAGTTCATAAACACAATCTGTAGCACGTGGGTTAGGAAGGTGTGTTACGAATTAGCCAATCATCGTCGTTGAAAGTCTTGTACCGAATCCAGGTTAAGGTCGTTAATTATATATAGCATGTGACCCGTATGTACTCATACATTTGTATACACAGGACAGTGGCGGAGTGCAAGCTGATCAGAGAAATAGTTCTCGTTTGGTATTTGACTAATTTCGGGTTTATTTATCACAGACAACATTTTTTTTCTGGATAAAATAAAATACTAGGTGCAGATCTAGGCTGTTGGTTATGACGACTTTAAGAAAGACAGCTGTCTGTGTTATTCTATTTTTTTGATGTTGTTGTAGCCTGTAAACATACGGCGACTCATATGTACTGAATGATCTCCGAAAGCTCTTGCCCTTTCACGGCTCCCGTCTGCCGGTACAGGTTTAGTTTTTTTTATTAACTTGGTGGACTTCAGTACGGACAATTTTTCCGGCCAATGACGATAAAGAGATAACTAAATGTACCGATGAACAGAGGGAAAATAAAAACTCATGGACTTTGTCTTAATGCTGATTTCACAACCGAGAGGCAAATACCTTTTTTTTTACATTGTTTACTTTTTCTGAAACAAGGTAACTATTAATCAAGTTTAAAGTTCAAGTACGAAATTGTTTCGAGAGTGTCCCAAATAAACATGTATACATTGTATAATCTAATGTTATTTTACTACAACAGTATGACACATTATATTCTAGAGCCCCTACTGATATGTTAATTGATACAAAAATCTAAAACAATAATGTAGGTCTACTTCAAGCACAGATCTTTCAGGATATAGAAGACCATCCTAACAACACTAGCAAACATTTGTGCAGTTTGAATATGTTGTGTTGTGAAAAAATTAATGAAGACTTAAATAAAAATACCAAAGTTATTCATAATTAGTTACTTCACGTGTATATGGTACACACACGAAGGTGACCATAAAAACTTGCCCAAAGTCTTCATCAATGGGCATATTTGGAAACCCTGTGTTGTAAGTTTTGTCCTTCAGCATTTGACATCTATAGAATTAATAATATTCAGAGCAAGCGTAGGTTTGCGAAGCAGGGGTATTTCTATCAAGAAAGGGAAATTAAATAATAACTCGTCCTTGATGGTCATGTTTAACGTAAAGACCAGGGGAAGCGAATGAAGTAGCAGAGTCTGTAGTGTCCCTGACTTGAAGCTTATCAGGGTAAATACGACCGGCATGGTCATTAAATGTCTTAACTCACCGTTGTCGACGTCATACCATGAGTCTATTGTTATTTAAAGAACAAGTATTGTCGAAATACTTCTCTGAACTATTTCTCTGACCAGCTTGGCAACATTTTGCCTTACTCCGCCACTGTCCTGTGTATACAAATGTATGAGTACATACGGGTCACATGCTATATAATTAACGACCTTAACCTGGATTCGGTACAAGACTTTCAACGACGATGATTGGCTAATTCGTAACACACCTTCCTAACCCACGTGCTACACATTGCTGACAAATATATATATATTTCATACTGCAGTATAAATGCCCGATGCTATTCATTTCAAAGCATGACTATTATTTTGATTGTATTCGGCTGTCAAAGTCTTATTTTCATTTTTTTTTTAAATCCCTCACACCATGCAAACGGTTGTAATATTAAATGCGCATCATATTCTATACGTGCCAATATCCTGAGAATAAAATGAGAAACGCCTGTTGTGTGAATAAAGATAGATCTTGTTGTGTGGTGGATATAATGTGCATAACAGTACAGTTATTTAATATATGAATGTTTTCGATTTTTTTAAACAGGATGTCAGAAGCAGACTCAAATATTGACAAACCGAAACTGTATGGCGAGTACCTGCAGGTAGGAACAGGACGACAGAGCCAATACATGTGTAGATGGGACACAGTGTAAATATGTAGGTGGGACACTATAAATAGGTGGGACACTATAAATAGGTGGGACACGGTAAATATGTAGGACACGTTAAATATGTAGGTGGGACACAGTAAATAGGTGGGACACGGTAAATATGTAGGTAGGACACAGTAAATAGGTAGGACACGGTAAATATGAAGGTGGGACACAGTAAATAGGTGGGACACAGTAAATAGGTGGGACACGGTAAATATGTAGGTGGGACACAGTAAATAGGTGGGACACAGTAAATAGGTGGGACATGGTAAATATGTAGGTGGGACACGGTAAATAGGTGGGACACAGTAAATAGGTGGGACACGGTAAATATGTAGGTGGGACACAGTAAATATGTAGTTGGGACACGGTAAATATGTAGGTTGGACACAGTAAATAGGTGGGACACAGTAAATAGGTGGGACACGGTAAATATGTAGGTGGGACACAGTAAATAGGTGGGACACAGTAAATAGGTGGGACACGGTAAATATGTAGGTGGGACACAGTAAATAGGTGGGACACAGTAAATAGGTGGGACACGGTAAATATGTAGGTGGGACACAGTAAATAGGTGGGACACAGTAAATAGGTGGGACACGGTAAATATGTAGGTGGGACACAGTAAATAGGTGGGACACAGTAAATAGGTGGGACACGGTAAATATGTAGGTGGGACACAGTAAATAGGTGGGACACAGTAAATAGGTGGGACACGGTAAATATGTAGGTGGGACACAGTAAATAGGTGGGACACAGTAAATAGGTGGGACACGGTAAATAGGTTGGACATAGTAAATAGGTGGGACACGGTAAATAGGTTGGACACAGTAAATAGGTGGGACACGGTAAATAGGTGGGACACAGTAAATAGGTGGGACACGGTAAATATGTAGGTGGGACACAGTAAATATGTAGTTGGGACACGGTAAATATGTAGGTTGGACACAGTAAATAGGTGGGACACGGTAAAAAGGTTGGACACAGTAAATAGGTGGGACACAGTTAATAGGTGGGACACAGTAAATAGGTGGGACACAGTAAATATGAGGGACACAGTAAATAGGTGGGACACGGTAAATAGGTGGGACACAGTAAATATGTAGGTGGGACACAGTAAATAGGTGGGACACGGTAAATAGGTTGGACACAGTAAATAGGTGGGACACAGTAAATAGGTGGGACACTGTAAATATATAGGTGGGACACGGTAAATAGGTGGGACACGGTAAATAGGTTGGTGGGACAGGTTAATATGTAGGTGGGACACGGTAAATATGTAGGTGGGACACAGTAAATATGTAGGTGGGACACAGTAAATATGTAGGTGGGACACGGTAAATAGGTGGGACACGGTAAATATGTAGGTGGGACACGGTAAATATGTAGGTGGGACAAGGTTAATATGTAGGTGGGACAAAGTAAATAGGTGGGACACAGTAAATAGCTAGTTGGACACAGAAAATAGGTGGGACACGGTAAATATGTAGGTTGGACAGAGTAAATAGGGGGGACACAGTTAATAGGGGGGACACAGTAAATAGGTGGGACACAGTAAATAGGTGGGACATGGTAAATATGAAGGTAGTGGGACACGGTAAATATGTAGGTGGGACACGGTAAATAAGTAGGTGGGACACAGTAAATAGGTGGGACACAGTAAATATGTAGGTGGGACACGGTAAATATGTAGGTGGGACACGGTAAATAAGTAGGTGGGACACAGTAAATAGGTGGGACACAGTTAATAGGTGGGACACGGTAAATATGTAGGAGGGACACGGTTAATATGTAGGTGGGACACAGTAAATATGTGGGACACAGTAAATAGCTAGTTGGACACAGAAAATAGGTGGGACACGGTAAATATGTAGGTTGGACAGAGGAAATAGGGGGGACACAGTTAATAGGTGGGACACAGTAAATAGGTGGGACACAGTAAATATGAGGGACACGGTAAATATGTAGGTAGGACACAGTAAATAGGTGGGACACAGTAAATAGGTGGGACACGGTAAATAGGTTGGACACAGTAAATAGGTGGGACACAGTAAATAGATGGGACACGGTAAATATGTAGGTGGGACACAGTAAATAGGTGGGACACGGTAAATAGGTTGGACACAGTATGTAGGTGGGACACAGTAAATAGGTTGGACACAGTAAATAGGTGGGACACAGTAAATAGGTTGGACACAGTATGTAGGTGCGACACAGTAAATAGGCGGGACAAAGTAAATAGCTAGTTGGACCCAGAAAATAGGTGGGACACAGTTAATAGGGAGGACACGGCAGATATGTAGGTGGGTAAATATGTAGGTAGTACACAGTAAATAGGTCGGACACAGTATGTAGGTGGGACTCAGTAAATAGGTTGGACACAGTATGTAGGTGGGACAGGGTAAATAAGTGGGTGGGACACGGTAACTATGTAGGTGGGACACAAAATATGTAGGTAGGTGGGACACGGAAAATATGTAGGTTGGACATAGTAAATAGGGCGGACACGGTAAATAGGAAATAGGCAGGACACGGTAAATATGTAGGTTGGACAGAGTAAATAGGGGGGACACGGTAAATAGCTGGGACACAGTAAATAGGTGGGACACGGTAAATATGTAGGTGGGACACAGTTAATAGGTAGGACACGGTAGATATGTAGGTGGGACAGGGTAAATAAGTGGGACACGGTAAATATGTAGGTGGGACACAGTAAATAGGTGGGACACAGTTAATAGGGAGGACACGGTAGATATGTTGGTGGGACAGGGTAAATAGGTGGGACACAGGAAATAGCTAGTTGGACACAGAAAATAGGTGGGACACGGTACATATGTAGGGGGGACACAGTTAATAGGGAGGACACGGTAGATATGTAGGTGGGGCGGGGTAAATAAGTGTGACACGGTAAATAGGAGGGACACGGTAAATAGGGTGGACACAGTAAATAGGTATGAGGGACACAGTAAATAGGTCGGACACAGTAAATAGGTGGGACACGGTACATATGTAGGTGGGACACAGTTAATAGGTAGGACACGGTAGATATGTAGGTGGGACAGGGTAAATAAGTGGGACACGGTAAATAGGTGGGACACAGTGGACACAGTAAATAGGTCGCATATGTAGGTGGGACACGGTAAATATGTAGGTGGGACACAGTTAATAGGTAGGACACGGTAGATATGTAGGTGGGACAGGGTAAATAAGTTGGACACGGTAAATAGGTGGGACACAGTAAATAGGTGGGACATGGTAAATATGAAGGTAAATATAAAGTTGTAGGCGGGACACACTAAACAAATTGATTGGACACAGTAAATATGAATGTGTGATGCTGTAAATATGTAGGTTGGATACAGTAAATATGTAGATGGGATCTATAAAATAATTATATGTGAAATATCTTTTAATATTGGAGATATAGCATAGGGAGTGAAAGGAGCCCCAAAAAAGGAAAGCAGGAGGAGAAAAAATATATAAAATGATATATGTATAAATTGTAGGTAAGTGGTTGAATATGTAGAGGGGGTTGGGGGTGTTGTAGAGTGGTTATGGATAACTTCAAGGAACATGTAGGAATGGTAAGAAATTACTTACCTGATTTCAGCTGAAGGAGATTTGAATTCTGCCTATATAGAACAGAGAACCAAAGATATTCTTGGCCTCAAAAGAAGATTAAGGAAATATGTAAAACCTAGGAGCTAGCACAAGCGGTTATCATATATTATAAATTACTTAATTATACAGTCGCTGCCTGTTGTGAGGAACTATGATTAATGATTCCCGCTTGTGACCCCTGTCCATTTGTTATTTAAAAGACACACGCTGTATGACCTAACACAAATTCAAACTACACATAGATTCGTTGGGATTTCGGTTGTTTTAACGTAACAAGGCACATTTCAAATCCATCTATATTTTTTATACCTGCATATCATTAAAATATATCATATTATACGCAAATATTGGTATTATATTATACACATAGCATTATTTGTTATCTAAAAGTAAGATTGTACAAATATATGGTTTATATCTAGACGGTATTAAACAACTAAATTGTGTCTACATTTTACATGTTTCACTGTTCATGGACGAACTGTTTACAGTAAGTCTACATTCTGAACTTTTACATATTATTGCAGTTGCCGAGCCTGTTGAAATGTCAGTCCATGACCAGTGCGGAGGCGGGAAAGCCAGTTCATGACGAACACTTGTTTATCATCACACACCAAGGTAGGGGAGGTCAAGGTCACCTCTGATATAAAGGTAAAAGAAGTCAAGGTCACCTTCAACACAAAGGGTAAAAAGGTCATGTTCACATTTAACACAACGGACAGCAATTCAGTGGGGAAAAAAGGGAAAATCCACCTCCTACAGGAAGGACAGAAAATATCAATGTCATTTCTTAGAAAACGGATATAAAAGATCATGTTCCAATTTGCACAGAAATGACAAAATGTGAGGTCAGTTCTCAAATAAACAAAAAATGCAGAAATCACGTAATTAACCCAACGTTAAAGGTTGAGATATCTATGATTGTGCCTGATAATGTATCTGTGATTGTGGTATTACGACTTATATCTGTGATTGTAGGATTGCGCCTGTTATCAATGATTGTCGGATTACGCCTGTTATCTATGCTTATTTGATAGGGCCTGTTATCTATGATTGGGGGATTGCACCTGTTATCTATAATTGTTTGATAGGGCCTGTTATCTATGATTGGGGGATTGCGCCTGATATCTATGCTGGTGGGATTGCGTCTGATATCTATGATGGTGAAATTGCGTCTGATATCTATGATGGTGAGATTGCGTCTGATATCTATGATGGTGAGATTGCGTCTGATATCTATGATAGTGAGATTGCGCCTGTTTTCCATGACTGTTGGGTTGCTCCTGTGATATATGTAATTGCCGAATCACACCTGGTTTCTTTGATTGTTGGATTGCGCCCGTTATCTATAAGGGATTTCGCTTGGATTCCTTACAGGTTTTTATGATTATAATTTAAAAAATATTATTCTTTATTTGTAGCATATGAATTATGGTTCAAGCAGATCCTGTTTGAATTAGACTCTGTCCGAGAGATTTTTACAGTGCCGGTAAGTTCTTTAAAAATCATGACCACATCATTTCGCGAAAGTGAATATACGAATTATTTTGGAGATGAAAGAAGTCGAGTATGGTTCCAGTTGTCGCTCTTGCATGAACAATTGCATTCTAGTCTTACTTTGCAATCCTGGAAACAGCGGAGTTGCGAAGCTAAGAAACATAAAATTTATGTATTTTAATGTGTGTCTGCTTCATTTTAAAGGGGTTGTGGAAGGCAAACTCGTCGTTTTGTCAGTGGAAAAGGTAGAATGTCTTACAATGCACGTAAAGCAGATACGTTTTACAAAGATATGTTGTCCAGGAAGGTTCTGACAATACATACCATCACCAAGTCCGAGTCAGTCGACATATGAACAGCGTATTTCTATTGTTTCAGGTACTTGATGAAGGCAAAGCAAGGCACATCAACAATCGGCTTAGCCGTATTACGCTTATTCTTAAGGTAAGGGTTCAAACAGATTTCAAGACCGTAAGTAAACTTTAAGATACACTTATCCTTAAGGTAAGGGTTCAAACAGATTTCAAGACCGTAAGTAAACTTTAAGAAGAAGGGGGACGTATGTCAACAATTCAAAATAATCAAACCTTTTTCTCTACACGTTTTACAGATATCATACTTTAGTAATTCAAAATAATCAAACCCTTTTCTCTACCTATTTCATTCACTTTTAAGGAAACGATAATTCTGGATCGAGATTGTTGACCATGTTAGAACATTGTTGTGAGATTACATACAGTTATCATGTTTCCAACCGCCCTTCTATTTCAGGACCATAGTCTCCTTGTAATTTCATGCGTTTTGACCACGTTTCATGTTCTGTTAATCTATTACATCAATGGTTGCTTAGGTGCTTTGCGATGCAGCGTCTCGGGTGAAGGGGTCGCGTTCTAACACAGGGTTATATTGACCTATACTTTCTGCTCCGACGAACACCAGAAAACACCTTTTTATGAAAGTTTGGGAAACCTAATTACAATAACATTTTGGGTGAAGATGTGTCTTGCAGACAAAAGAAGTTGAACTGAACTGAGCGTTGAAAGAAATACGTTTTTGTGTCATATTTTTCTCACGTTTTGGTACAGGTTGAATATTCATCAGCTGTTAATTCTACGGATAAATAATTGTTGCTCGCCAGAGCGAAGTTTCAGTGATTTCCCCAGTTTCATTGAATATTAGAGGAAACTCGTTTCGGGAGTTTTCAGGTAGTATTTTTTTTTTTACCAAACCTCATCTGCTGTTCAATATACGGGTGAAGATTGTTGACCTGTGACCTATATTTTCTGGACCATTACAGATTCTAGAACTATTCTGTACGCAGTTTAACGCGTTTCGTACGTAGGTCATTATTCGCACGTGTTATTTTCAAACCTCTTTCACTTGTATCTTATGTTTTAATAACGAAGGGGTAACTTTGTTTATGTATCTTTTCACCAGCGAATGCAGAGGTAGGTTTTCAAGTAAAATATAATAGAGACATACAACGCGGGAGTGGGCGGGTGTGGGCGGGAGTGGGCGGGTGTATCTATTGAGCTTGGGCTTTGTTCAAAGTTACATGTCTTACTAGCAATGAAATACCTTAATATTATCATTACTTTTCTTAACTTTCATTTTTCAGTTATTAGTCGACCAGTTTCTCATTCTGGAAACCATGACGCCGCTCGACTTTCTGGAATTTCGGTAAGGTTTATACCATGATTACTCATCTATGACACCATGAAATGGACCCCCTTTGTTTAAGACGACGTCTCTGATTAACAAATGTTTGTCAGTATGTTGTTAATTTCTTAAACTTCTTAAAAATTAAAACTCGAACTTCGCCAACGCCACTTACTACTATTACTTAAGTATAATGTAGCCTATCGATGGTCGATAATTCTCACTTATAAGGAGGAGAGGTCAACTGAGGAAAGAACCCCTGGCGATATTTACTGTGGTCACTTTGACTATACAAAGTCCAGATACCTATGGAGATGTACACTAAGCCATTGTTATTGTATACAGTTTCATATATCACACACTGTAAAGTTAATGTCACGCTCCGACGACTTACATATATTCTATGTACTCAGGTCATCGGAGCGTGACGTAATGTACATGTACTCTATCACATTAATCCGGCCATGCTAGTGACCAGTAAAGCGTATGTACCCTTCGGTGTTAACATGTACGAAAGGTTGATACAAGCGAATAAACAAAGTCGGTTCGTTTACACTAAGAGAGTATGCACACTTATTTGTTTACAATGTACATGTACATTGTGTAGTCCAGTGTCTCTCGTTCTAGCCCATGCGTTCATTGGAATTCTTTAGCTAGAAACTGTGCCCTCAAAGAGTGCAAATACAACTGTTGCTAATGTTATGTTGACGACATATCACTGGAGCTAATCGAGAGAGGGCCACAGAAGGAGTTGTCTGCCTATATCGACACTGTCGGTTCCACTAACGTCATGTCGAACTCACATCTGTGGAAGATATCAAGTGCACGATGCCTTTCTTTGACAACTTCCCTTTAATATACTAGAAGATGGTTGAACCGTAATGGTGTTTGTTTTACATTAGAAGACACCCAAGGATAGATGCTTAAACATCCATATCATCGCTAATGACACTAAAAGTATAGCGTAATAAGTATATAATTTAGCAGACGTAGTACGATTCTTGGAGAATAAAAGAAAACAAAGCAAAAACATTGGCGCACACCCATGAGACAACGAAAATAAGAGGTGGATTTCTGTAATGGGTTCCCAAGTAGGAATAAGAAAATGCCAATCATAAATAAAAGCCAAGTGAAAAGGGGAGTATATAAAAATCATCCAGCGGATGGCAAGGCAACAACCATGAAGTCACACAGGACCCCCCCCCCCCCCCCCCCCCCCCAAAAACCCATTTTAATACACGATAAGGAAGAAAAACATATTATGAAAAATATCTAGGATGAAGGAGTAAGACGCTTGCGAATCGGTGGCCAGGTGTTAAACAATGCGTACCCGAATCTATTCGCAAATCAAGTTTTATCTCTTACATCCTAAGTACCTAAGTAATCGATCCTGATCGACCTGTCGATTATATCATCATGGATTACATTTCAACATCACCTAAGTGCACATACATGTTACGAGTAATCTGTCTGATGAAAGGTTACAGAGTGCATACCGTACTAAAGTCATCGACACGTCACTCATACACATTCCACTGGTTGTACTACCTGAACCCGTGTACAATATATATATGATCTTACATGTTTCCATTTCATATGAGATTTATGAAACAATCTAAGAATTTTCCAATTTAGCAAGCCTCTGGCGAGCTAAAATGGAAAACTCATGATGAGTTAAATAAATTTCATATGAAATGACAACGAACATAAGCTCCTTTTCATCACATACTATAGAGTTTTCGCATTTATTCGTGTAAAACCACAATTTTCATGCAACCCTGAAATATAAAAAGTCGCCATTTTGACTCCAGTGCGTAAGTCTGTGACGTCATGTACTTGTCCTAGGTGTGACGTCACAATCGAAACAATTGAAACTTACAACCAATCACAGGGCTAATATGCAAAAAAATATTACACGGGTATATTGACTGGATAAAACAGTACATTATGTGATGAATTATTATCCCGAATATGTTAAATAATCACAAGTTTATAAGTGCTACCCTATTAATAGCGTGCCACAACCAATTGACGAGTATACAAGTAAGAAACTCATCTATCACCAATATAGACATGTGTTTTACAATCGGCAAAGTAGTCAAACTATAATACGCGGTCTACGTCATATTTTGACCGATTTGTATATAAAATATTTACTTTACAATACATTACAATATAATTAAAAGGATAAATGAGAATGGATCAGGGATTTAAGGTACAGTACACACATGAAGTTGGGCCACTAAGTACAAGGACAAAGCCGTGAATGTGAACTCTCAGGCTAAACAAGTGACTGCAATAGGCATCATAGGGCGTGCTATTGTTCATGTGTCATTGTTCCCACAGTTGGTTACGATGGGAATAGAATAGCATTGTTCCTGTCAACATACGTTGACCTATGGCGTTAACATAGTAACGTCACTTTCTGTGTCATGAGTAGTTTTTTAAAATGTTTTATTAGTCACTCACTGACACTGCTGTCATGGGTTGTCCGCAGGACTTGGTAAAAGCATAGTGGTTTTTTTTTGCATGTGACCTATCATACACCTAGCTCTGTAGCTCTGTATAAAAAACATCAGGTAAAATGAAATGTAAAACCAGGCGATATAACTTCGTTACTCACTATAATCCACAAGCCATGGTCTGTGTAAATATAAAGAGCCAACTAGAACAGTGTTCTCTTCTTAAACCGAACCATATATAATCCGGAAACCTGTAGAAAAGCGGAATTTACACTACATATCCCAGAATTTAGACAGCACGTTGTGAATTCCTTATGAATGAACGATATTTAGATATAATATGTTTTGTTGACAGAACACGTCTTGCTACGGCATCTGGATTCCAAAGTCTTCAATTCCGTTTAATTGAGAACAAGATTGGTTTAAAAGAGGTAAGCGTATGTTTTGTAAAAGAACACGTTTATTGAATTACTCCATGCGTATTGTACGCATGTGGTTCAGGAGGCACGGTAGTCTAGTAGTAGGACACCGGCTCGTGACCGAAGGGTTGCGGGTTCGAGTCACGTCACGGCACTGTGTTGTATCTTTGAATAACATACTTTACTCCGCTTGTTCTAGTCTACTCAGCTGAAAATGAGTACGTGGTAGGGCAGTTGAGAAAGATATTGGCTGGTTGCAAAGGCACTATAACCATGGATAATAATTTGTGAACCGCTTTGAGACAAGCTACGAACTAGGTTGTGTAAAAGCGGTATATAAGAACCTCGAATTATTATTATTATTAAATAAAATAGCCTACTGTCTTCATGGCGATGGGAATTATTTATTTTACTAGGAATACAATGTTGATGAGAATTTTCAAAACCTTTGATAGACTAGTTTCGAATATGAGTTGATGAATGTAGCATGCTAATGTACTATGAGGCCCAGTAACACAGTTACGCCTGTCTATCTGTAACAGGACAGCCGCGTTAAGTACAACCAGCAGCATTACATGAAGGTGTTCAACGACCCGGAGAACATAGCGATGTTACAAGACTCTATCTCCAGTCCGTCTCTCCTCACACTGGTCGAGGTAGGAATCCCACAAACCCCGCCCCAACAACGTGTAGTTGATACACCAACCTTGGCCTTTATAAAGCCATGAATGCCATTACGCGATTGTTGATGTCATCATTATCATAACGTCATAACTGTGACACCCACCTTTTCTGGACAGGTGGCTCTTCTATAAATTGAAAACACATACACTATGCATACACGTATATAAGTTAAATGCCGAACTTCGAAACAACTTTTTTTTTATTAGATTAACATATTCCAAAATTGGTAAATATTAGTATTAAAATGATTTCAGTTGGCACTCATAGGCAATGTGAATGCCAACTGAAGGTAGTTCAATCATCCTTGAATATATCTTTGTTAGGAGTTGTATTCATACGACAATGGTATAGATATATATTTTAAAATTTGATTAAATAACAGATGTTTTATTACGCTGCTTTTCTTCATGAACATTGCCATTCTCATTAGATTGTCGTGTTTCTTTATTTTACTAAACTCAATAAAGCGATGGCTGGAAAGAACTCCTGGACTGGCCAAAGCTGAATTCCACTTTTGGGAGAGGTACCAGTGTGCTGTCAACCGGTGGTTGGAGGACCAGTGGTACAAACCTGTTAAGGTAAGGCCTACTGGGTAAGTGTCGAGGACCAATGGTACAAACCTGTTAAGGTAAGGCCTCCTGGGTAGGTGTGGAGGACCAGTGGTACAAACCTGTTAAGGTAAGGCCACCAGGGTTAGTGTGGAGGACAACTAGTACTAACCTGTTAAGGTAAGGCCTCCTGGGTAAGTGTGGAGGACCAGTGGTACAAACCTGTTAAGGTAAGGCCTCCTGAGTAAGTGTAGAGGACCACTAGTACTAACCTGTTAAGGTAAGGCCTTCTGGGTAAGTGTGGAGGACCACTGGTACCAACCTGTTAAGGTAAGGCCTTCTGGGTAAGTGTGGAGGACCACTAGTACTAACCTGTTAAGGTAAGGCCTTCTGGGTAAGTGTAGAGGACCACTAGTACTAACCTGTTAAGGTAAGGCCTTCTGGGAAAGTGTGGAGGACCACTGGTACAAACCTGTTAAGGTAAGGCCTCCTGGGTAAGTGTGGAGGACCAGTGGTACTAACCTGTTAAGTAAGGCCTCCTAGGTAAGTGTGGAGGACCAGTGGTACTAACCTGTTAAGGTAAGGCCTCCTGGGTAAGTGTAGAGGACCACTGGTACAAACCTGTTAAGGTAAGGCCTCCTGGGTAAGTGTTGAGGACCAGTGGTACAAACCTGTTAAGGTAAGGCCTCATGGGTAAGTGTGGAGGACCAGTGGTACAAACCTGTTAAGGTAAGGCCTTCTGGGTTAGTGTAGAGGTTTAGTGGTACAAACCTGTTAAATTAAGGCCTCCTGGGTAAGTGAAGAGGACCACTGGTACTAACCTGTTAAGGTAAGGCCTCCTGGGTATGTGTGGATGACTAGTGGTACCAACATGTTCAAGTAAGGCCTCCTGCGTAAGTGTGGAGGACCACTAGTACTAACCTGTTAAGGTAAGGCCTCCTTGGTAAGTGTGGATGACCACTAGTACTAACCTGTTAAGGTAAGGCCTCCTGGGTAAGTGCGGAGGACTAGTGGTACCAACATGTTAAGGTAAGGCCTCCTGGGTAAATGTGGAGGACTAGTGGTACAAACCTGTTAAGGTAAGGCCTCCTGGGTAAGTGTAGAGGACCACTGGTACTAACCTGTTAAGGTAAGGCCTCCTGGGTACGTGTGGAGTACCAGTGGTACCAACATGTTAAGGTAAGGCCTCCTGGGTAAGTGTGGAGGACTAGTGGTACAAACCTGTTAAGGTAAGGTCTCCTGGGTAAGTGTGGAGGACGAGTGGTACTAACCTGTTAAGGTTAGGCCTCCTGGGTATGTGTGGATGACTAGTGGTACCAACATGTTCAGGTAAGGCCTCCTGCGTAAGTGTGGAGGACCACTAGTACTAACCTGTTAAGGTAAGGCCTCCTTGGTAAGTGTGGTTGACCACTAGTACTAACCTGTTAAGGTAAGGCCTCCTGGGTAAGTGTGGATGACTAGTGGTACCAACATGTTAAGGTAAGGCCTCCTGGGTAAATGTGGATGACTAGTGGTACTAACCTGTTAAGGTAAGGCCTCCTGGGTAAGTGTGGATGACTAGTGGTACTAACCTGTTAAGGTAAGGCCTCGTTGGTAAGTGTGGATGACTAGTGGTACTAACATGTTAAGGTACGGCCTCCTGGGTAAGTGTGGAGGACCACTAGTACTAACCTGTTAATGACCTGCTAAAAGATATTTTGATTTAGATGGGTGCATGAAACATATTTGGTGGTTTTTCCAAATCACAAAACGTTAAAAATATTGAAATTGATTTGGATTTGAGATAACGACTCGTAATTGTTGACACATAACCAGGTTTATGCTCTCTCTTCCAGTTTAGTATACGTATCTTCACTTAAGGGATTTACCCAACTTAGGTTTATCTATAGAAAAATCTATACTGGAATGAAAGGAAAATCTGAAGTGAAAGAACCTTCAAAAGTTAGTGAACATTCTGAAACCTAGGGCTAGGTCATCGGGAATAGCTTTTATCTCATATTTTCCTAATCTTGTTAATACACCAATAACGTCTCATTCTTATAAATCATATAATAGATCAAAAAGAATAAATAATTGTTGTTGCTGATATTGCGAGAATTAGGCGTGCATTATTAGAAGGGAAGACATAATGATTTTGATCTGTGATTTGTAAACAGGATGAAAATGACCCTGAAGTGAAGGAAACACTCATGGCGGAGTACCAGAAACAAAAGGTAAACAAAGAAAGGATCTCATTTCAGCTTCTTTATAACACATCTCTTCAATCTGTCAAGTACAATGATTCATTGTCACAGCATGGCCTAAAACATGATTCTCAATAACATACATTTTACAAATATCAATTATACTCATTTATTTGATTTTTTTTACCAGATAACATAATTTCATAATCTCCAAATCTAATAAGAGGAATTTGGTTAAAATATGAAAATAATCCTAAAAACAAATTTGCTTAAAGTGTTTATAATAACAGTCATACCTCAACCCCGCTGTTATACCATATTAGAAATGTTCCTGAATATGGAAACATATGAGCAACGCAAATCATGTAAGTACACGCAAGTCTAAGAAACTGTATCAGTATTAGATAGTTCCAAGATCACTAAAAGTGAATTTTCATTAATTTCATACCGATATGTTTTGTCTTGTTCTAGGACAGCTTTGATACTGTGTTCGACCCGGAGAAACATCAGAAGTCAATGGAACGAGGTGCTGTTATTTGATATGATAATTATGGCATATTACCTTAATATACCATTTAACCATACTGAAGCTTATAAACGTTGGAACTTTGCAGTTCATATATGAATTTAGTTTAACACTTTTCTACACAAGAGATCGGTGTGAGATAAGCAATGATCTGAAATGATAAAATATTGTCATCTACATCTGTACGTTGAGAACTAACGAATGGTAGAACAAGCTGTATTGTAAAGCTAGGTATTTGTAATTTCTAGGACAACACTGCAGCTAATTCGAAGAAATTGCTGGTCATTAATTGATTGATTGATTGATTGATTGATTTTATATAATGTATTTATTTTCATTTAAGTGAAGTTACATTTGTTGTTAGATAATTCAAAGCAATTTCTTATCTTGTATCAACGATTTCAGATGCACGTTTGATACACATAGCAACGGATGACTTTTGACTATTGCATCCCTTTCTTACCTGCCTTGTTGACGTTATAAAGATTATATGTCTGGTTTACTTATTTACCTAGGTGAAAGGAGACTAAGTCACAAGGCGTTCCAGGGCGCCCTGATGATCTCGCTGTACCGGGACGAATCGCGCTTCAATCAACCCTTCCACCTTCTCACACTCCTGGTGGACATCGACTCCCTCATGACAAAATGGAGATGTAAGACATATTCAATAATATACATAACAATAATATATGTTTTACTAGATCATGCTATGATAACAAAACACACATGTAAAGTTTTGGTTATTTTTTTCAGTGTTGATGAAGTTCTGAACTTTCCATTTTTACAAAAAAATAAATCCATAAGGTAATGTCACAGAGTGGTTTCAGACTTAATTCAGGTCTACCTGTAGTAATATGTAGTCTACCGACTGTCATGTGAATCATGTGATGAACAACATGTGACAGATTGAGGATGTATATACATATTGTTACTGAGCACATTTAATATACTAGTACACCAGTACAATACCACACTATACCGCTACCTAGCTTACAGCCGTCGTTAATGCTGCAAACCCATATATAACTGCCAGATACCTACCAGCCATCGTTAATGCATTGTCACAGGAAATTTCAGTCTATAATACTTACAAAAGCCGAGACCATCGGGAATGCATCTTTTAGAAACATAGGAAAATAAAAGCATTTATTAAATAATAAAACTAGGCGCATATGAAAAATACTCTAACAAGAAATATAATCAAATAAAAGATAAGATTAAATACGAAATATAATCAAATATGAAATCAAATAATAAAATAAAAAAAATATAACCGAAAATAAATGTTATCAAAAGCAATTCGATAACATATTTTTCAAATATGGCATCGGTGGCAAAATTCTGTAGTACGTAGTAAGTACAAGTCCATATGCCTTATTGCCACATACCGTTATTTATGTACAATTCATCAACACTTCAGATTTGTCTTTGAAAAAATGTGTCTAACACAAACACCTTAGAAGGGGGATATAAACACTTCAGCTCTACTTTGTTCAGCAAGTAGTCTGTTAACTATTATCTGATCAGCACTGTTACTCGACTTAGGTCCTCCAGATTTGTTTTCTCTGTTCTGGTCCTTAGGAAACGTATAGAACTAATACTGTCAGTTTGTAATTCTGAGTATTGTGTTTTTACTTAACGATTTATTTGAATTACTTTTATATACAATGAACACATTTATTTAGACATTGTCACTGTATAGCATTGTAGGTATAAAAAGAGATTGATTTCTACCTTTTAATGTTCATGACAGTTACTTCTTTAATTTTCTTCTAAATTTACACAGTGCCATCCTTGTCACCGAGTCGTGGTATAATTGTTGGTGATTTTATACATTTCGTCAAAATACACAGCACTCTTTATAGATATTATATGTGTATCTTTGCATGTACCGTAATGATCTGGGGATAAAATAAGAACCATCAATGTATGCATTTTATGGGTTTGAACTTCTTTAAAATGCACATTTTTATAACGAATTATCTCTTGAAATATTGCTTATGAACGAATTGGCGTTAAGATACAGGCTTTGACTTTTTGATAAAGTATGAACAATACAATCACGTACAGGGGAATATATTTTGCTTCATGTGTACATTATATTACAGATAATCATGTGATGATGGTACAGAGGATGATCGGCAGTAAAGTAGGGACGGGCGGCTCGTCCGGGTACCACTACCTCCGCTCAACAATCAGGTACAGCTGACAGTCACGAGGCCACACAATACAATGACAATGTAGGACATACTGTCACGTGGCAGGTGTTGGAGCACGTGATATCATGCTACCTGAGGGAACATGTGATCCATAAATCATTGCATTTATATTTTTACGCTAGGCATTGGCTTTAATAACTAGATTGGTCATCTCTAGTTTCATTCTTTTTGTAATGACGATGGGAAGAATATATCTGTGCAAGTGTGTGAACTGTTAAATCGCGCACTACTCCACTGATAAACCCTATGTTGTGCCTGGTTGAGCCCTGTTAACACTCTGTCAGTATAACATGTATGTTTCTGTGGTAATGACTGTTCTTCTTAGGTGTCCTTTGGCGACATTTTCCAATTGACTCGAGAACATTACAAGATTCGCACCAGTAATGTTACACGAATACAAATATAGTGCCCGAAAAATATAACAGGGCAGTATATATTTATTTCACTTTTCTTTAAATGCGGTTATGTGGGTGATGATAGTTATAGTTGTGACCACCAATGGCAAGGAACACTTAACTAGCTTATATTGAAATAATTACCCCAAGCGATATATAAATTGAAGACAGGTACAAATCTATTTCTGTGACATACACAAAGATATATCTGTGGCAGTAAATATGTCAGTGACCTATTTCTATGACAAGCTGTATGACTACTTTGTTTGATAAGGACAATGGTCTCCAGTTAAGTTACTGGTATATATGTTCTTGGTATATTTCAGTGACAGATACAAAGTCTTTCTGGATCTGTTCAACTTGTCAACATTTCTCATACCCCGTGACTACATACCACCACTCACCATAACCATGAAGAGAACGCTCAGCTCCGTCATCAATGGAGACTGCGTGGACGACGAGGTCAGGGCGAGCAAGGAATGCTCACCATAACCATAGTGTTACAGTGTGCTGGTTTTTATATCAACAATTAGTTAAGGAAAAAACAATTTATGTTGCTTATCAAATAAATGGATTTAAATATGTTGAGAATCCGGTGTTAATCTTCAAGTAGAAAAGAAATATAAAATACACTACAGCGTCAAAGGAGGGGATTATAACCCATACACAAGACTAAAGGGCGACAGGAGAAATTTAAAAGACACCAAAATAAAAACGAAAGACATCCCTTACCATGTCTCTTATCATATCAAGAAAAGTATGTCCTTCCACAAGCAAGAGTTACAAGATTTACAAAAATATTAAAAAGCACTAAAATAAGTTTTAAAATAGGACAGATTGTATCAATACTCTTCATATTAAATTGTTTCAGTGAGCCAAGTACTTTTTTAATCATACTATTCTGATGTTTGTCACTAGGCTGGGTAGTTCAAAGGTATGTTACGCAGCATCGACGAAATATTTCAGACAACTTCGAAGTAGTATCATTGATAAAATCTCTGTTTTAATATCACTCATACCATCAACTATGTGCTGTCTGTTAATGGAATCTTTCAGACAAATATCTAACAAACAAAAAACTCTCGCGTTGTTATTTCATCTCTTAAGTTTTTATCAAAAGCTTCCATCCTCGAAATCAACATTATCCCAATTATTTGTCATGCTAGACCTTTATGAATTGGAAAATTCTGATCTCAAAATATCTTTTTCTAATTGTATAAGTTTGAAATTACAATAAGAGTAATCCGCCACACTTGTATTTTATATACGTTGGCTTACTTATTCTATACCAGCCCTAAACCAATTAAAATAAAGTATCACATACCTTCAATTTGCCTCTCATAATTATTTTCTTCTTGGATTTTCGAACCTTTTGTTAAGTTACATAAACGTCTAGTTTATCTAGATACAATCAACATACTCACCAACACTGTCTATAGAAACGCGATGCATACCTTACTTTTTTAACACACACAATAATACGCCTGCCTTTGTTGTAGAAATAATCTTTGTTTACACAATACAGTGTTACTGTCCAGGTCTTTATAGTCTGTACTATCCGTCTGACTAGGTAATACACATCTAATCACACTTCAATCAGTATTATACAAACTATGGATATCTAAGCTGGTTTGGTGACCATAACATTAATATCAGCATTTCCAATGTCTTTGGAGTCTGCGTAATCCTGTAAGGCATCAACATATTTCCCCTCGTCGGACGGATCTGTCGGAGAAATGCTTTACTTCCAACTAGACATTTCTCATTTTAAAGGAGACCTAGCAAGGAGCACGGGGGCCGAAACCGAGATAAGCAAATGCAGGGGTCATCTAAAACAAATTGGGTGTGTTACAGTCGATAAACCACCAGGTATATTGTATAGAGTATATTACTAAGACTCCTATTTAACACTTATAGTACTTCACAAATGCGGAAGTGGTCATTTCTTTTCAATGCCTTCACTAGTGATCCAACCCCGGACCTTCTTTGCGCTATACTGTATCAGCCTAAGCTGGGTTAAACTCGAGGTGATTGTCCCGTTCCTCTGCAGCACGAAGACGACAAATCTATTGTGATCGTTCCATCGCCCCTTGTAACACCCAATAGGTTACACCAGTGAGTCATACAAGGAGTATTATAACACTATATCCTGTAACAAAGTGTGTTCATGTGTATTTCCCGCAAACAAAACGACACAAGAAAGAAGAGATATATTCAGTTTATGCTATTTGTTTCAATCGACAAGTTAAAGGTGGTTCTGTCTTGCAACATGAACAAATTCTTTACATGGAATATATGGTGCATAACGGGTTAAGTATACCGCATAACCATTTCTTTAATAAAATATTTCCGAAAAGGAACACACAAACTGGATGGGAGAGCAGTAAAGGATTGGTACTAACTAATAGAAAGGGACTCAATATATACTAAATAATGGTGTAAACAATAATGATTTTCTGATGTTCCCTGAATTTGCAAGTCTCCTTGTCCGTATCTGCGCTTCGTGCTCGGTCTATATCAAAATAATAAATGTCAATTAAAAGCTATTGTTATTTAAGAACGAGCCAGATTTTCGATGGAAGAGGAAAACAGGAGAAAAAAAAGAAGCATGTGGCCACTTGTGAGGAGTAGCACTTCCGGATGAGCAAGTACGGTTGTCAGGCCTGTAAACTTCACTCTTTTCAGTAGTTGTGTTAATCGGTTGGAGCCGCGTGAGGTCGACTGTGTTTCCTTTGATTCCTCGTGATTGTTCGCCATGACAAAGCTGTACAATAGGTTCGAGACTTACCGGTTAACCACCGCCTGGTGTAGCGAAGTAATTAGTATGACAATATTAATGATAATAGTCGTATTGCAATAACAATGAAATGAAGGATGTATGTTATTAACTATGAAATGTTTATTCAGTAACCATAGGAATATACGGACAATTTGTTATGCTGCAGACAAAGTCAATATTCATTTACCTTCCGAGCAAATGGTTATTAAAATTATCAATAAATCTTCACGGAAATATGAGTATAATGACTATTCATTCCTTATATAATACTTAACGTTAAAACGATTGCACTTATAAATATTTCAAAATAAGCGGATGGCTATAGAAATGATTACAAATGACAAGTCTTTAGCCTACTGAAACTGAACCAGATATGTCAATGTTAGGTATTGACCCCTGGAGAATGACTCGTCCTTGCCTATAGACTATTTTGCCCGACACGTTGATTGCAATGGCGCTGTCCACTGGCCATTAGATGGAATGTAAACAAAATGTTAGTATTGGTTGTAAATATATCACCTTCCACGACAATCAAAGGACAAATAGCTCCATCGTGATCGGCCACCGCAACAAAAGGTGAACTTGCATCAGGATTGCTTTTAGTACTATAAATGTTATTATGAATGATAGTTTCAATGATAGTGTATTGTTATGCACAGTGTGATCCATATAAGGTATACTAGAGTAACACAACACACAGAATGTAGTAAAAATTCAGCAGATATGTATATTACTGGATAATGGCTACATATGATTTAATGTGATCAGGTCTACACAGGGCTAAGTCAGTAAATAATTATATGTATGTTTTAATGTAAACACAGGGACTTGCCATGACTTATGACCAGTTCTGATATTTTAAGGACTGGCCAGGTTTTGGTGGTGGAGGAAAACCGGAGTTCCCGGTAAAAAAAACTACCGACCAACCGACCTGCCTCAAGTAGGTTTCGAACCCGCGACCCAGCGGTGGAGGGNCCCCCCCCACATAGCGTTCGTTCAAATAGGAAGATTTCACGTAATAGCGTAAGTTTCTTTAAATTATTCAGATACATTCAAGCAAACATCCTTAGCTAAAAATAAATGCAGTTTAGAATATATTTCCAATGTCAATATTAAGCATGACATGCAGGGATAGCACGGTTTGTATGTTTTATCTAGTTGTTTTATCGAATTTTCTATTACATAAGTGACTACACCTAGTCATAATTCAACTCCAACTTAGGTCGCATTAGCATTCAGGCTGTGCTTAATTGTGTTTGATTAATGAAACTCCTCAGCGTTCAATATACCCAGATGTAAATCCAATGCCATCCGTTTTTCATGTTTCCTCTTTGCATGTCAGTTGGCTTTGATAAAATATTGTGTATACCATTATACAACAAAAGAAAACATTGGGCTTGTCGTCAAAGGTGTACTTTTTCAAGTTTGTCCTTATCCAATGTTTACATGCACAATAACCAGAATATTAATGTAATTTACATTGTACGGGGTCTGTTTCAACACACCACATTTCCATACTTTAAGGACTTCTGGCCTTCAGAGAAAATTACGGATAGTTTTTTTTATCAATTAGCTAAAAATGATTTTCCAAAATAGACACATGATTAATTAAACGTATTGATAAATATACAGATGCAGACGAGCATTGTGTTCTTAGCTTAATGGACCGTATAATCAGTTTTTAAATAGCATTTTTACTCTTCTAAATATCCGTTTACTGCAAACTAACTATTTGAAAATGGTTGGTATGTAATAACGTAAGTCCAAGGACTGTAACGTTTAAACTTTAGTTTTGATTCTAGCATAAATTCACCTGTTTGTTAACTGTTGTGTTAAGCTTCTACGACTAAATCTAATTCCGAAGCAATTTGTCGTAAAAACGCCCGGAGAGGTTAGTGTAAGTGTATTGATGGTACAGCGTAGCTATGTCAATATGACTCTTTAGCTCGGGGAAAAACTCAGTACTGGCACCTCCTGTCTGTCATGACGTGTGTAGTGCTGAGATGGAGAAACAAGTTTGATGGCAATGATATGAAGTGAATTTACGAATGACGGCATTTTGCAATGACACAATGGTTTTAAAACAACAAGTTGGTGACAGTTGTGCGACGTTGAAAATGTCAGAAGATACAGACAATAAGGATAACGAAACAAGAAGTGAAGATGGAGGCGGATTGTTGGATATATGGCATAACTATTCATCGTCTACAACGCTTCACTGTCTCTCCAGAACTACAAAGATAGAGTCATCAATGTTTAGAAGGTATTTATTTCGTTTCTATTTATTTCTTTTTTTTCTCTCTCACCATTTTATTCAAATTAATGTGTATATGTGCATATGGAAATATATCGAAATGTTCTTTGTTCAGTTATTGTTTGTGTTAAGATAGTTTCATGGCATGCCACCTCATTTCACTTCACTTATCATGCATATCATAGATATAAAAATAACATTGATGAAGTATACAACTGCAACATTATTTATTTCAATAAAACACCATGGAGCTGTAGCGCTCTTTATTCCTAGAATCGCTATCCCAGCAAGGCATATTAGTACTTTACGCGGCTTAACTTTCAACTTTTATTGTGAACGAGTAGCTTAACTACATAATGTTAAGTGCATTTTGTGGAAGGCTTCGCTAGAAAAAGGGCAAAACAACAGCATACTTATTAGGATTCATTATAAGAGCGGGTTCAGCCTATCAGGTCAATCATCCTACAAAGAAGCATGAAAAAACGGAAAACAATATCAAGTCTGTTTTTTCTTGACCTCATTGTCCAAACCACACTCAATGGTCTGCATGTAAAGCACTGGATTTTGTTGGTGAATTTATTTTTGTGTACGCAAACAATATTACATTTCGCCAAGAAACCCATACCTCTATCAGGTCATTTGACTTGTACACTAACTCATCTCATACCAAACATAAGGAACATCTCCGTTTTCTGATCGTGAGAAAAAGAGGGTCCCAAATAAGTGATGGTTGGTTACCATGTTTATCTAACTCGAGTTAGTTAATTTTCAAAATGTGATAAGACACTAGGTTTACCGAGTGTCTTTAACATTTGAAAATTAACTATCGAGAATAAGATAAACATGATTATCAACCATCACGAGTTTCTGGGCCTTTTCCTCCCAAAACGTATATCTAGAAAACCTCCAGTTTCTCTTGGGAATACCTTATTTCTGTTGATGATCGGGGAAACAGTGCCATGAACTACTACATAACAATAGCAGATGACGTCGCAAAGCGTTGTTACTTGACGTCATAATTCGAAGATTGACCAATGCAATCAAGTCCAGGGTGTTACCCACTAATGGGTAACCAAAACTGTTTTACAACTTCTAGCTGGTTTATCCAATGAGTCAGGAGTGGTTGTGGGAGAAATGTCTTTTCTAAAAAAGACCAAAGGTGATGCAAACATAAAGTTGTGAAATGTCTTGGAACATGCAATACAAAACCATGATGACATATGCTGAGTATGAAATCGTGTACATCAATGTAAATGAACTCCTGGATGATGATATGTCTGTGGAGTTTCAGCAAGCTGTTGGCGTCCTGATGAAAACAAACTGGGTTCCCCTGCCTCTGCCGACTTGGGCTTTTATTTGTACACGTAACAATATCTCTCCACGTCCTTCATGTCCACTTACACATATGTTAACAATGTTAAAATCTAAATGACAGGAAATGATCGACCCTGTCGTTCATAAACCTTTTTATATCCCCCAGAACATTACCTCAGATTTTTCTATATCAGCCGCTGACCTTTGATCTTTATATAAAACTAGACCATCACGGATGGCTTACTACCAGGCTGTAAGTAAAGCGTGACGATTCAAATTTACCGACCGCGAAAGTTCCTTTTCTTTATCGTGACATCCACGCTTTCCATTGTCTCATGAGAGTTTAGGAAGACTATTAGCAAATGGTCGCAAAAACAATGTTGTTGAGAAATATGAATTTCAACGTTTTTGACGCCGATCATAGGTGTGTCTTGTGGTTTCCCTATCGATAAGTCAAACACATGTTCCGGTACGTTTTCAAGTGATGCCGTGTAACTTCTAAGTATTCCCAATGTTGTTTTATTGCAATAGTTTAATCGATTTGGGTTTTCCTCACACTTGATTATTGTATATTTTTTTCATAGTTGTGACTGCAGAAAAACGATGTTAGTAACTCGTTAATAAAGACCTCGAATAAAATTTATATTTTATCTTAGGATTCACACGATAATTCATTTCCTTTCTAGATTCCTGTGGTTTGTTTTCCTGGGTTCCATGCTTGGTTTACTTTTCTGGCAGTCCTCTATTCAAATATCCCGATATATAAAGCTGGGAACATTACTCAAAGAACACTCTCAGGAAGACGAAAATATGCAATTCCCCGTGTTTACAATCTGTGACATCAACCAGGTAAAAAAAAGTGACATCCAGGATCCTCAAATACAACAGGTTCTCTCCAAAGCGTACATGGAAATTGAAAAAGACATAACTTACTTCAGCAGCCTTGACGGAAATTGGTCAAAAAACATAGATGTCCATGGTATATTTTATAATAGTTCTCATAACGTGTTTGACATGTTTTTGATGTGTCTTTGGGAAAACAAACCTGTTCAGTGTTCGTCAATCTTTACTTCACGGGTGACGAGTGCCGGGATTTGCGCTTCCCTGGTTGATCTCGAACTCACGGAAAATGGCGGCATTGGTAGTGACATGGGAGTCACTGTCATTCTCCAATCGAACACCTCGGACTACCTCGTCACCTCCACTCCCGGATCAGGCTTTCGAGTGAGTAAAATATTCTTTATGATTAAGATAGACATTTTTTTTTAATTAAATAATCTCCTTTAGCACGTGCCGCTTCGAAGCCAAAAAGTTAGTGAGTAGTTTCATGTACATTGTAATTAGTAAAAAATCGTATTTTATGGACTCACTCAACTAAATCATTTACTATATGTTATTACTAAGCTTTTGAGCTAATAGCGTTAATATTTCAACACTAGTGACAACTGTCTAGATTTACAGATCCATACCTGACAAAGGCTTCAAAAGGCATTTTTTGTTGAGTTTAGTGGCATGTAAGAGCGATACAGGCGTCTGCTTTAGACCGGTGAGGTGGGATGGGAACACCCCCTGACATTTGACTCCATACCAATCCCGCATATTAAAACTGACTAAAACCATACATTTTTCAAAAGTTCAATATCTGTAGATTTCATTCAATATAAAATATGTCAACAATTACCTGTTTAGATTACTCGGAGGCACTGTATCAAACCGGAACAAATTTTAGGTAGGGATTACAATCGTATGAAACACTTGCTGATTGGCTGATTTAGTTGTGCGAGTCCTTAACTGTTACGTGACTAGGAATATTCTCATGCCAAGATAAAATTTGTGAATTCATCAACCAATCACACAATTGCTCATCTTTATTACTTTAAATGCAATTTATTATGCGACTTTCAAACAAACCGAATCCAGGTGCTGTTCCACACCAGTGATGACGATCCAGACGTCAATGGACTAGGCATGACACTCTCCATGGGCACAGCAAACACCATTTCTGTGAAGAAATATAAGGTTGACTATACAGATTTTATCAGGTCCAAGATTACGACTCACTACCATTGTAATGTTTAACAAAAAAAATAAAGCATACAGATGACCACCAAATTAATTTGAAAACAACATTTTAAAAGTATGTTTGGGGTGTATTCACTATGAAAAGACATTCCTCTCCTTGTCATAAATCACAATCTAATATATCATAAACATCTACTCTTGCTCATACTTGTTATATTTTGATCCTATTAAGATGTCGTGGGACTGCAAAGTGATTGGCTGTATTGGCCCTTCAATTTATCTATTTCATTTCAAAGTGTTCTAGAGTGAGTTAGCATTAACATTTATAAACATAAGCAACAGAATAACTTTTAAACCAAAAATGTTTGTTATTAAGGTTTTCTCGTATCAGAAAATCCACATACGTGCTGAAAAACCGCCACTCTGTTTATTGTTCAACATCACACATACTGATAACGTTTGGTAATCTGCCTCCTACAGACATCGTTTCTGAAACATCCGATCCCTGCCTTCGGAGATGACTTCTGTATCGATAGCTGGGCTACTGACTACGTGTCGAAACTTAAATACACCAGCAAATACAGTTTTGGTGCCTGTCGGCTGGACTGTCATACATCATATGTGGTGGACATGTGTGGATGTAAAGATGTCTTCATGCCAGGTACGGGGTATCTCGCCTGATTGTTGTAGCGTAATACTATCAATACACATGTTGAGTAGTGGTGGTGGTGGTGGTATTATCAGTTCAGGATAGCTCACAGCGTAATTATTTTAATACACATTTTTCAAGGAGTACTTTGTTAAAAGTTGAGAACTTGTCCTATTTAAATAAGTTCAATGATTGCTGTATATGTTGTGTGTATAAATGTCATAAATAAAATTGAAATAACGGTTAATGTGTAAACTCCAATGAGTTGTCTCCAATTATTAGAGCAACGATCAGCTAACGAGATGACACTGACTCCCAGTGGAACGACTGTGAAGTCATGATATTAACTATGGAATCATTTAAGAGCATGCATGTGTGCCAACTCAGTGAAGTAAGGTTACATGATATACTGCCTTGTAATAAAATATACCAAAATAAATGTGATGCTTGTATTCCAGGGAACATTTCAATTTGCGATATTGACCAAATGGTGAAATGCTATGACAGTGCGGCAAGTACGAAATACTTCTTATTCATGTTTGTTATTTATATATACAAGTATGATATATATGATTATATTTATACATCAAATCGTCAATTTTCATCAAATCAGAAATAATAAACTTTAAAACAAATCTAGCGTACGAATGCTGAAATGCTGTTTCGTTCATTAACATCATAATTCATCACACGTTTGAACAAACGTTTAAAGAAATTCTTTTCAGCTATCACTTTCTTTTATATTAAAGTATATACACAGTTAAAACAAAAGAAAAACCTCAAGCTTTTCACCCCTATCTAGGTATATATTTTGTCACTAGCCTCATATCCGCGATTTCTTCAGTCTCATTTGCGAGGAACGGTTCCTGTGACTGTAGCCAGCCCTGTGACATGGTCTCATTTCACACCACATTAACTCAGGGTTCCTTTCCCCATCCGGGATACCTGGAGGCCACGTTTCCGAACCTCAATGTCTCCAATAACTATGTGAGGTTGGTATCCATGAAAAATATCGAATGATGATAGCATATGTTTATTCACAAATTAATTCCATGTACTACATGATGAAGTTAAAACGCTAGGTCTGGTACAAATTTTATCTTTCAGAGAAAACGGACTGATGTTGGAAGTCTTCTTGGAAAATAAAATGTTCATAAAAAGGGAGCAGATATTAGAATTTACAGAATCGGATCTCGTTGGTAAGCAATTTGTATTTTAAAGGATAATTTATTTTACTTACAATGTCAATACTACGTCCAAGAAATGGGTTACATACGTTTTTAATATTCTTATTTCAGCTTTTTAACGAGAAAAAAGTTTTTTCATTGTATTTTACGATGTAGTTCAGCCGCTTTAGGAAGGTACATGTTTATAGCAATTTACATTGTGTAAACTATCGTAATGCAGTTTCGTTTAGATGATACATGTTATTTGTTACAGTGTATTCGCATCACGGGAGGATACAACGACTTTCTTTGTGTTTTACTTTGAATTTAAGCCTCCTTTAAATAAAGACAAAGATAATAAGTTAAAGGGGGCTTTATATTTCGATTTTTATATGATAACCCAACCTCCAAAACAGTTACACGATAACCCAACCTCAGTAGCAGCTACACGATAACCCAACCACCATAGCAGTTACACGATAACCCAACCTCCATAACAGTTACACGATAACCCAACCTTTATAGCAGTTACACGATAACCAAACCTCCATAGCAGTTACACGATAACCACACCTCCATATAACAGTTACACGATAACCAAACCTCCATAACAGTTACACGATAACCCGACCTCCATAGCAGTTACACGATAACCCAACCTCAATAGCAGTTACACGATAACCCAACCTCCATAACAGTTACACGATAACCAAACCTCCATAACAGTTACATGAAAACCCAACCTCCATAGCAGTTACACGATAACCCAACCTCAATAGCAGTAACACGATAAACCAACCTCCATAACAGTTACACGATAACCCAACCTCCATAACAGTTACACGATAACCCAACCCCCATAGCTGTTATACGATAACCCAACCTTCATAACAGTTACACGATAACCCAACCTCCATAGTAGTTACACGATAACCAAACCTCCATAGCAGTTACACGATAACCCAACCTCCATAGCAGTTACACGATAACCAAACCTCCATAGCAGTTACACGATAACCCAACCTCCATAACAGTTACACGATAACCCAACCTCTATAGCAGTTACACGATAACCCAACCTCCATAGCAGTTACACGATAAACCAAGCTCCATAACAGTTACACGATAACCCAACCTCCATAACAGTTACACGATAACCCAACCTCCATAGCTGTTACACGATAACCCAACCTCCATAACAGTTACGCGATAACCCAGCCTCCATAGTAGTTACACGATAACCAAACCTCCATAGCAGTTACACGATAACCAAACCTCCATAGCAGTTACACGATAACCAAACCTCCATAGCAGTTACACGATAACCCAACCTCCATAGCAGTTACACGATAACCCAACCTCCATAGCAGTTACACGATAACCCAACCTCCATATCAGTTACACGATAACCCAACCTCCACAGCAGTTACACGATAACCCAACCTCCATAGCAGTTACACGATAACCCAACCTCCATAGCAGTTACGCGATAACCCAACCTCCATATCAGTTACACGATAACCCAACCTCCATAGCAGTTACACGCTTCTTGGTAGTGTTGTTTACTTCGTATTGCAGTGTCCATGAATGGGTACATGTGGCTGGTTGTGTTTTACTTCGTGTTACAGTTCCCACAGCAGGGTACATTTTACTTGTTATTGTGTCTTACTTCGTGTTACAGTGTTCATAGCAGGGTACATTTGACTTGTTATTGTGGTTTTCTTCGTAATACAGTGTCCATATCAGGGTACATTTGACTTGTTACTGTGGTTTACAACGTGTAACAGTGTCCATAGCAGGGTACATTTAACTTGTTATTGTGGTTTACTTCGTGTTACAGTGTTGTGTTCATAGCAGGGTACATTTGACTTGTTATTGTGGTTTACTTCGTGTAACGGTGTTCATAGCAAGGTACATTTGACTTGTTACTATGGTTTTCTTCGTAATACAGTGTTGTGTTCATAGCAGGGTACATTTGACTTGTTATTGTGTCTTACTTCGTGTAACAGTGTCCATAGCAGGGTACATTTAACTTGTTTTTGTGGTTTACTTCGTGCTACAGTGTCAACAGCAGGGTTTATTTAATTGTTATTGTGGTTTACGTCGTGTTACAGTGTTTATAGCAGGATACATTTAACTTGTTATTGTGGTTTACTTCGTGTTACAGTGTCCATAGCAGGGTACATTTAACTTGTTATTGTGGTTTACTTCGTGTTACAGTGTCCATAGCAGGGCACACTTGACTTATTATTGTGGTATATTGTGTTACAGTGTCAATAGCAGGATACTTTTAACTTGTTATTGTGGTTTACTTCGTGTTAATGTGTCCACAGCAGGGTACATTTGACTTGTTATTGTGTCTTACTTCGTATAACGGTGTCCACAACAGGGTACATTCAACTTGTTATTGTGGCTTACTTCGTGTAACGGTGTTCATAGAAAGGCACAATTGACTTGTTATTGTGGTTTACTTCGTGTTAATGTGTCCACAGCAGGGTACATTTAACTTGTCATTGTGTTTTACTTCGTATTTCAGCATCCAACGATAGTACATGTCACTTGGTATATTTTTTATACTTTGATACCCGGTTGCCTAATGTGCAGAAGTGATTGTAAGCCTTTGTTTTTGTTTCACGATAATAACTAATACAATGTACTATATCTTTATGTTGTAAAGCGCTTTAGAGTAATTTTACAAATTATATAGGGCGCTATATAAATGTTGTATATTATTATTATTAGACTTATTATTATTTATTTATTTTTGTAGGTTCAAATTGTTTTATTCCCCCAGCATCTTTGGGAGGGATGCCAGGGTTGGGGTGCCCCGGGATCATCCCTCTTACATAATATAGCCTCATGCAAAAGGCATCTTTCTCTGCATTCTCTCTTTCTTTTTCATTCATTCTTTCATACGTATATTTCATTCATTACAATAACGATAATATATCTTTTGATTAAATTGATATATTAAATTACATCAACCTTTCCTTCTTTATATATTCAAATATTGAAAGTATTTTTATATCTATAAATTCATTTACATGCCAAAAATTCTGCTTTGTTGATTTGGGATTGCCATATTGTCCTAAAATTTATACAAGATAAAACCGAGTTCATGTACTTTGAATGATGTTGTTTTTCATGTGTAATTTGGATTAATTCAAGAAGGAATGTCTGGAGAAATGCAAAAGAGTACAAATACTAATGTACTTAGTAATTTATACCTTTATACATAAACACAAAAAACATAAACAGTGTACAATTATGAGAAATTTAACTACAAATTATGTATTCATAAATGCATCATACACACACTCGAAATGACAAATATATTACTCGAGTCATACATATATACCACACATAATTATATACACATACACTCGCACCCATACACACACATCCTCGCATGCCTGACAGCATATATAAGACTTTGCGTTGGAGAATATTTTGTAACGGACTTAAACTTCATACTTCGGCATCCATTGGAGGATAAATTAGTCTATGTATTTGTTTTGCTTTTTCTTTCAACCTCCATCGGTGTATCGATTGGATTTAAAATGGAGATGGTTTTGTAATGAACGTAAACTTCGTGTTTCAGCTTCCATTGGAGGATACATGGGACTTTTCATTGGAGCGAGTTTTGGAACAATAATGGAGCTGCTGGAATTTTTCGTTGACTTCATTTCGAAACTTTTCAGAAAACTGAAAATCTTTCATGGTTGACTTTAAAGACACCTTAATAAAGAAACTAACACGCCGCTGTACCAGTAAAACACATAACGGATATAATTAGTCCCATTAAAAAGAGAGAAATACACATTATGTGTCATGGAGGAAAAATAA